TCCCGGTTGGTGTATTTAGGTCGGGTTTCTGTACAAGCTAAAAAGTGCTCGGACTCATTTTCAGATGCACTCCATGTCACTTTATGGAGTTTGGAACTGTGTACTGCTAGTGATGTCTGGGATTGTTTCGGACTTCTGGCAGCGACGTGTTTGATAAGCTCTTCCGCTCATCTTTTGGACGAGCTTTTTTTGCTTCCTACTTGTCTCTACATTGTGCCATGCTATTCTTTCAATTAGCACCTCGTGTTGGGTGTCTGCGTCTTCTTGAGACGTATTTAACCACTAACAGTCATTAGGCTTTTGCACTACGTAGACATCCGTAAAGTGTACGGCGTTATTCCACACTTTGCATTACTAAACCCTTTTGCCTTTATACTATGTGCTTTCGAATTAATTAATGACCAGGTTAAAGTGCCTACCTCTTCACTCACGTGTCTTGCTTGACGCATTTGAAAACTTTCTTTGTGGCAAACCAAAAACAAGGGTTCACGATGCTGTATTTGTCCTGTTTCAGTTAACTCCTTTATTAGTATTTTTGCGTAGTGCTTCTAATCAAGTGGTTAATTGACCTCGAATATGTCCTACTTCATAGTCGGATCATGGGAATTAATCGCGCATCATCCTGAGAGCTTAGTTTCACGAGGTCACTTGTTTTCGCTCAAATGATTGGTTGGTCTGTGGGCTCGGAGAACAACTCCCGCAGCTAAGGCTTTGTGGCTCCAACGAGTCTACGTCAGACGTTTGCAGTCTTCTGAGTTCGTCTTCTCATGTCTGTTTGGCGTTCATGTTCTGTGAATTCTTTGTTTCAGCCTCGTGAAACGCACACGCCTCTTCTTCTGAGTTCCGTACCAAAATGCTCTCGTTTCAATACGACTCATGCGACACCGTGAATTCCATTTTTATCTACCTCCCTTTTTTGACCGAATCACCGCAGAGGACGGACATCGGTTATTTAGACGAGCAGAAATTTACCAACCAAATCGTTTGTAAAGTTTGCACATTATCCCTAGCCATTTGGGTGTTTTTTTATGTTTGATAACGGACATCCTTTTTAGTGAATTCTTTTCTTAGTTATTGAATTCCTTAAATTCTGTGGTAACAATATCAAACATCGTAGAATTATAGTTTACAGAACTAAGTTTTTTATTTCATTGTTATCTTTAGACCATCAGGCTTACCTTATTTTGATGATCGCTTGTTTCTATTCGGTGACCATTTTTGTGTTATATTTTTCGCGGCCAATTTTTTTAATGTTTTTGGTCAATTTTGACGTCTAATCCTCGAGGTGGTGTTTTTGATTTTATCTGCGGTGTGTATTAGCGTGACAAGGTCATTTAGAGAGTGATGATACATTAGACTAACATTTGATTTTCCGTTAACAAGAAAATTTGGCATTCTCTTTTTTGTATTAAAAGTTGCTCTCTAAATCGGGTGTGTGGTGACATAATTTCAGGAATTTGCTTATTTTTCTTTCTACTAATTTGCTTTAAATGTATTTTATTGGTATTTGTCTTGCTAAAGAATACCTGTCCCATCCGTAAACTGCTTAATCTACGCTCTCTCGACTTCTCTCATCAAAATACACGCACAATTTCGAAGATACTCCTTGGCTTATTGGTTTATCCCATTTCTGTTTTACTATTTCACAAAACTTGGACGTTAAAGCCAGCTACCGCACAGGTCAATGTTGAGAGAAAACTGCCAATCGTCTCAATTCCAATTCCTTTAGTAGCTGTTTGTTTCATAGTTTAAGTCACGGGTGTGGGCATGCGTGCTGGTGTATAACGCTCCGTGAGTGCACCGGTGTGCCTGTTTGCTGTGCTAATTTGCATGCCTCTTGTTGGGCTGCATCCTCAGGTAGGCTGAACGTCTTGTGCAAATGTCGAACATGGACTTATCGATTGTAAGCTACTTATACATTTCCGAGTATTTAATGGCGCGCCCGACGTAAAATTGAGTGACATCGTAAACAAACTAACAGTTCAAGCTCTATCACACGAGTAACTCCCCGTTGGAAATGTGCTACAGACTTGTTTTTCTTGGTTGTGTCGTTTTGTGGGTCGAATACTCCGTGACGCACCTCTCGAATCCACGTTCACGTTGTACCACGTAGACATACCTCTCGCAAACATATATCGCTTAGACGTTTTTATTTCGAACTCGTCTGCTTTCGGGCGGCATTTTAATACATTTTTCTACTTTTTTATTCGTTACCTAACTCCCTCATTTAAAGCAGTCATTCTTCTTTACCGAAATGCAAATAATTGTGGCTTGTGGGGTTATGTACGAACTCAGTATTCATGGTAATTTTTTCAGTGTCAATGAACTTTGGCTTATAAAGCTACTGATAAACGTTTGCGGTACTTAGTACTTTTGCGTCAGCCGCTTTTAATGCTGAAACTGGCCCGGTGCTTGGTCCTCACATGGCACTCCTTGCCACATTTATGTGATCGCTTGATCGTTCTGAAATGTAGTTTGTCCATTTGAGCACACGACCCCGTTCCATGGTAAGGTAGAAGTATTGTGCTTCAACGATGACCCAGTTTCGAAAGTATCCTAAAATAGCCATCATCGTGTTTGTTTAACCTCGTGTCGAGGCATCTGCCAGCAGCTGTAATTGCCCTTAGGTACGTTCCACTATGCAGACATCTCATTTGTCTCCATTCACGTCTAGCTGTTAAAGTATCTACTTTCAACATTTGAATAGCAATTATGCTTAAACAGAAATATTTGTGGTAAGTTCTGTATGTTGTTAAATGGTTATCACGTTCAGAGCGCCCAAAGGGGATCTTTCTGTCATAATATCCCTCGTCCAATTTGTTGTCTTCGGCGACCGATGGTCATTTGACTTGACTTATTCAAATAGTCTTCTCATTAAGAGCTTAGTAACAGCAAATTCCCACCGTCTTAAGCTCCTTGACATTTTATGCTCCACTTGATTTTCGAGAACTGCCACGTCTCTTGGCACCTTGCAGCAGCGTTTGATGGCAAGGACTTTAGTTCAAGAAGCATCATTTTGAGCGTTGATAGCTTAGCCATGTGGCGTATTTTTGCAATATTTTTGAGTAATTGGTGTTTTCCTTTGATAATTTCAACCGAGTCTTTATCTGTCGTCCAGTGTTATTGCTCTTCAAGACCCGCCTTATTGGTTGCAGTGTTAATTCTGGATTTTGTGTCATGTCTCAAAACGTTATCGAAACTGTCGCATCTTGGGTCTACTGAATCTGGCATGTTTTACCACTAGCCCACACCGGGTGTTCTAAAACGGGACGGATTGTTTGTAAATTCTCATTTATTAAAAACCGCTTAGCCAGCTCGTGAAAAAAAAATAACTGCTTGTTTGACAGCAGTGAGTCTACTTTGAGATGCCTTCAAGAGCTCATTAGCAAACACTTCAGGGCTCACTCAGCGCCAGCACACCGCACGCGTCGAACAAACATTTTCTCGTCTCAGTTCTGGTTTCGAAGGCCGGCCTGGGAGGAGCCACTGATTCTCTTACCACCCTTACGTGAACAGATCAAGTTGCATGTTTGATCACACTTTAAAACCCAGAGTTCGTGAAAATTTTCCCTTTCATCACACCGATCATTTCCATTTACGTTGAATTCCATCTGTATTTCGCAGGAAACAATAAAGTCCACTCATCTAGCAAATTTTCCTCGACGTTCTTCAACTTCCTACTTCTTGATTAAATTTCTTTGCTGTGGACTACCGCTGTAAAGACGAAAGAGTACTTCTGAAACGTCTTTTTTGCAATTATCTTAACACTTGCACTGTCTGTAAAATTCGGCGTATGCAGTTCCTTGTAACTGCGTTGTGTTGACGTACCGGTAATTCGAAAAAAAATGGGTAGTCCCCTAATTGTACATCTTCAAAACGTATGTCGACTTGCGGTAAAAGCCCTCACCGACGAGACTGAGCCGTGCGTTGAGTTTGTCTCTTGACCTTTCGAAGACATGCCCACCGACTTCGTACTCTAAGTTGGCGAAATGTAAAAAGGTGGATAGTTGTTCAGAAATTGGGTTAAAATTGTACAAAAATGGGAATTCGCCTTTTAATCATTTGAAAATCTTAATTGAAGCCTTCAAATTGTGATTTTATTTTTATTCAGAAACTATCGGAGGTGTTTCGCCTCTGGAAGTAACTTGGTGTGCGTATTGGACCGTAACCATGTCCTCACTGCGTTGGGTATACTGTGCTATCACCTCGGATAGCTGTAGTCTTGGGTGTTTTTGACGCAACTAACTTTCATTGATGTTTGAATGTCAAATGTCTGTTTTTGATACTCAACTTACGCATTTGGCACTGACCACTGAGTAGGAAGACTGCTAATTGTACCGTCCTGTCATTTGTGATGTGAATCATGGAGTTTTTATGTACTAAAACTACCACGGTTATACTGTTCTTATCGGCGTCTGGGTTAAAATTACGTACGCCTTCTATAGACCAACTTATGCACACTACCGTTATTCTGAGAGAACTCTACACCGACGTACTACTGGGAACCAGATACTGACATGGGGTGTCGTGCGTACGCAGTGGGGGCAGGCTACCCATCACACTGACAAATGCAACCTGCTAACAGGAAAACTGCTACATCCATTTGCGCAATGCTCAAGGACGCAGGAAAATGTAGGTCCGAGTTTCATCGAGTGTGCGCTTGTTATCTTCGCTCAGAGTCGTTACTTTCTCTAGTAAACCGACTGGAACATTATAGAGCAGCCGAATTTCCGTGATGGCTTACATTCAGAATCAACTACCCTTTCTGAAAACTTGAGTCATGTCTGATTGTTTTTAACTCTGGATTTAACTCCATTGTACACGCAGGAGCGATGCCGCTGCAATAACCTCAAAAACACTGTCGATATTATAATGTTAAATCTGTCCTCCAGCCTACTTTATTGATTACCTGTGTGTTTATTGGCAAATCGTTTCTACCTTTCATCCAACAAAGCGGAGTTTAACTTGTGCCACAGAAAGCCTCTCATATTCCATTACGCATGGTTCAACATACGTCACCGAGCTCAGCTTATGTAATCACGCGCGCGAGCGTGCGTGCGTGCGTCGCCGCGCCTTCGCGACTGGCGCACTTGCACACGATCGATGCTGCGCGCACAGCACGCGCCAGGTGTGCACACGCACGCACGAGTGTGTTTCAGGCTTCATAACCTCGCTCGTGTACATGCAGAATGGCGACGCTGCGAGCTGTACCAGCAAGGCGAAGTCGAGGCCAAGGACAGCACCAGACTTATGGACTTTTACTCTCCCCTCTTACCACGAGTTCTCTCTTCTTGCAGGAAATCGAGGCCTTTGTGCAAACGGCCAATGAGCTTGGTCGCGAAATTCAAAAATTCGTGTGTGCCATATCTCAATTTGAAGCCATCGGCTGCATCAGATCGGAGGACGGCAGCTACGAGTTCAATCAAAGTCGGGCGGATGCTCTGCGTTATCAGAGACGCTCACTTCTCCGGCGTCTATCGGCGTGTGAGTCTCAGGGAGTGAATTTGAGGAAACGACTCAGGGCGGCGGACGACAATCCCCACAGCTCAGATGAGGATGCGAATGAACGTGAAGTTGTGAGCTCGTTGGATTTACCAGTAGATAGGTCGACGCAGATAATCGTTGTTGAACGATACATTATCCAACTGACGGAGACCCGATCTAAATTAAGAACATTTTGGAGTAGATATCTTCGTGGACTAAGAAATTTGAAAACGCTGGAGGAATTCGAGAGCCGCTACAAAAAGGTGAGTGTTATTGCCTCTTGTATTCGTTTTCAAAAAGTCACTTTCTGCTTTGTTCCGAAAACATGCGCTGTTGATTAGTTCTCTAAATCCATGTACTTTTTCAACTTTTAATCCTTATGCTATTCGGTGACTGCTTTATGCCTGTTTTGCCGCCTTCTTTCCGAGTCATTACCTTGGTTCTTATACGTGGTTGCAATTTTTATAACCTTTCTGTCGCTCATTCAGTCCACAGACCTTTTGAGGCGCGTACACATGAGGTCAAGGGTGTCTCAAACACTGGCCTCACGTGGCGCTTACATGGCTCGGTCGTTGTCCCACACCCACTTTTTTTCACATCAACCGTTCTGTACTGCTCTCGTGGCATGCCTTTTCGTGATCTCACTGCTTTTCAATCGCAAATTTAATTCCGTGCTATCTCAAGCTCAAGTGGTTCAGTTTTTATTTTTCTCTTGTGAGTTGGTCTGATTATTATGTGGTCGATGCGCGCTTGCTAAGGTTAAGTCGTTTTCCCCCCACATTTCTCTATGTTGAACTGTTCACCCTGGATTATCTAATGCACACATTAAACGCTGCATTTTCGACCTCCGCCAAGTTTTCAATGTTCCGACTTCAGATCAAAAGTGTTATTGCTAGCTTAGTGACAGTACGCGTGGTTGTAATACCTAAAAACCAAAATAAATTTCAGTAGCATTAGCTATTCTGGCTGTCCCTTAAGCGTATTTTCGTTCTACATGGGGGTCTGTCGTCCTTTTTCTGCCTTTTCACTGATTTTGAAGGCATCTTAATTCACTAAACTTTTTTCACTAGGGGATATACTTTGGCCGTCTCGTTGATTACCAAAGCGTGAGCGGTTGTCATGCCACTGAAACCACCTAACATGGCTCTTCTCCCCGATTTCTCCTTCTTCCGTAGCAACCTTTGGCTCTTATTTGTATCCTCCAAGTACTGCGGCTCAATTGGTCATACATTTCTGAAACACCTTTGGCGTCCTCCCATCTCGTTGAGTCTGACATGCCCATCGTGTTAGTGAAATTTCATGTTCCTTGTGTTAAGTGGACTTTGTACATTGCACGTGTGATTCTTTTGTGCAATATGGCAGTTGAAGCGGCATGTTTTAGTCTTTAATTTGGATCACGATGGCTTGTTATTGGGTCCATGTATTTTATGCCATATTTTGGTCCCGAACACGACTTAAGTGTGACGGTTCTGTAAACCCCAACGACCTGGCTAGTGTGTGCGCTTTCTCGTCTAATGACCACAGACTGTGATTACGACTTCGCCAATAACCCACTTTGATACTCCCGTCTAGAGATGGATGTTCCGTGGTTATCTTCACTTTGATTCAAACCGTATTCTGTATTTCGGCGAAAATTCACCTTTACAGCCCTACTATTCGTAATCACACAACAGTGCTCTAATTTTTTTTTCATTTCCTGACGTAGTACTTGGTTGTCCCTTCTGTTTTATTCATTTAACCTTAATTGTCAATGTACATGCACCCTGTTCTCCTTATTACACCTTGCTACTTAACTCCTTTATTTAGTGGATGCCGTAATCTAATCGCCGCTCTACACGCTCAAAAGTAAGAAAAAATCAGCCTAGTGACCACCAAAGCAACCAACTTCTCCATAGCTTAGTTTCCTTCTGACACCTTTTTGTTGTATACTTTTTGAAGTGACTGCTCTTTTGTGTCTTGTATTAAATTATCTACAATACAGTCATGGTTCTATCCGTTGACGTACTGTGTGTGTGTCATACTCACGTGTCATATGGTGCGCAACCCCATGTCAGTGCCACTCGACTTTGATATCTAATCGTGGTATCTGCTTTGAACCCAACTTTAGCACCTATCACGATCACCCGGTTCCCCACAACTGGCCGCGGTGGCTAGCATTGTCGTACCTGACATCCTTGGTGAGTCGACGTGATCAAGTGCTGGATTTAAAATTAGCCATTTCTGACTGAATAAGCTTACTGTAGGACCAGATCATTAACCCGAGCTTCAATTTGACAGCTATAACGATTGCTTTTCAGTTCGTTTCATTCGGTAGCCACACGTACATTAGCGTTCGCTGGCATTATTGGTATCTTTGCCTTCCTGCTTTGCTAGTGATTGATGCACAAATTGCTCGAGGGCTAATTCTTCTTTGTTCATTAAATAAACCATCCCCAAGACAGGCAATAAGTGGAATTCGGCGAAAAGTTTGTTGCTTCAGACGACACTTTCGTTCCTCAGCTCCCCTAACTAATGCTTGGATTATAATTTCTATCACTTTTAGTCTAGGCCACCTTTTGTTTTGTTATGGTGCTTTGGTGAGACTGTTAGATCACTGTCTCCATTAACCCTCTAGATATTTATGCCTGCTGCGCGTTGGTGACAGTACCTCCTTTATTTTAACAAAATCGTTATACGTGGAAGCAATGTAGCTTACTCGCTCCTTGATTAGATCGTGGTGCCAGCAAATTTGTGAGTCACGCTAGTACTAACATTTTAAATGCGTTAATGCTTTTGTGTGTTGCGTTCATTATTTTGACTTCTTCCGACCTTGTGTGTGAATATGGCTCAGTGTCACGTACGGCAAGTTTTAGTGGGTATCTTAAGTTAAATACTGTCATCCGTTTAATTTTAATGTAGTATCTTAGTCAATGTCACCGAAAATATGGCCAATTTCTTACTCTGCTGCTGCTGCTGCTCCGATGTCTTATGCTTTTCATAGAGTTTCAAATGCATTATTCCATGCCAAAAGACTATAGCGTTCCTCACGTGGCAGAGGCGATTCCACTGTCGCATTATTAAACAGCCAACGACTACAGATTTGACGTCTAGTTACTACATTTGGTCCCAGTCTGACTCCTTCATCTAATAGAAAACTATAAGCTTTGAATATGTCAAGAAATGAATACACAGCAGTAGCAAATCAGTTTTGACCTTGAAATTACGTTAAATAATGCCTGGGTAATAAAAGCCTAAATTATATTTGTCAGTACCAAATACTAAAGTCAAGTAGGTAGAAATGTTTTATTCGTACGCCGCTCTTTGTTTTGCCTGCGTGTGATTTCCAATTTCGTCGATGGAAAACTGGGCGTACTCATAATTACCATGTGAATTCTTTTCACAATTTTCTTTTTTCCCTCCTGCCATTCGATGAACTGATGAACTGACCTCGGAGTTAACCTTGGACGTCTTTCTTACTTGACCTCGTTGCGCAACCTTTTTACTGACCCACTGATGAAATCCCAGCCATATTTTATCAGTTATGGCGTATCCAACACGCAACATACACTTGAAATACTGAGGTGATTCATTCACCTGCTTTGAGAGTCTGCTGTCAAATATTTCGGCTGCTTTTTCACTATCTGTGATCTGATGTTTTGATTTCCTTACTGACTTCACTCATCAGACATATATTTATGGTCATTCATGCGTTAACGCTACTTCCTTTTAATCTCCAAAAATGGAGAACCACGAGCTTCCCATATTACAGTCGTCATTCCATGTTGTAGTTAACAAGCTTGCGACACCTATGTGGGTGCTTAAATGCGGTTGAATTGGTTTTTTTTAACTGGTCAGACAATTCCCCAAGCTTCCCTTGGTGCTTGCGCAGAGTCAGATAATAAGTGTTAACCGTTTACATGGTGATTACCTGATTGTATTTGCAAATGTATGCAAAGATTGTGATTCGCCAAGCTGGCCTCAGTGCAGCCCACTCTCACATGTGCTCTTGCACACGCGCCTACGGTCGGCGCTGTCAGTGCTTGCACAAAACCAATATCCAAGGTGCTGTTTGGTCCTAGTTGGCATTTCGGACGCTTATGTAGCCATATACCAATGCAAAAGCAAAATCTGGAATCAGCGGGTTTGAGTTTTTAGAAATTCTTGGAGTTTGTCGTTGTCGTTGAAATCGATTGTTTTCTGTAATTTGAGTTCCACGTTGCTGGTGACTTCAGGTTTCCGTAAAAAAAAGGTGTTTATTTGTCATCCCAATTAAGGTGTCTCTTTCACAGTTTGCAAATACTGCATTAACTCAACAGGCCTTTCCAGTCTGTGATCGAAATACGGTTAGCAGTCATCCTGCTTCAACGTAATTTATCACTAGGTCTACTGACTTGCATGCTTACTTTTGTTTGGAAAATCACTCTTATCCATGCTAGTTAGCAGGTAGTGTTTGTTGGCGTAAATGGTCGTTAAATCCTTGCCAACTTGTATCACGATATCATTGAGGCGTCTGCACCGCTAAGGGCTTGACCCATAGTAGCTGCTTTGCCAATACTAATTAGAATATTTTGAAGTTATAGACAATTTTTTTTAATTAATCAAAATCAGTATCTAAGGAACATCACAACCCATGCATGTAGTTTACGTATCGTTCTTTAAGGCTTCAACTTCTCTTACTCCTAGCTCCATCCACTTCTGGGAATTTGGGAGTCCTTAATTGAGTCGGTCTCCGATTACCTTCCCGGTCATTCAGGTGCTCCACTCTTCCTTCCCGCCTCCTCGTTCAGCGACTCCTCCCTTCGTGGTCTCTCCGACGGTTCTGAGGAGACTGATTCGGCCGTAGTTATGACTGGTGAGGAGGAGATGCCAGGCTTCCTGTCAAATCTCTACTCAAATCCCTCCGTCGTCACTGAAGATCCCATGGAGGGCCTCCTTGCAACACAGGCTCGTGTTAAGGAAGCTCAGGCATCTGGAGTTGCTTTGTTGGAGGAAATTCTCGACCTCACAGCACTGGGAGAAACAATTAAACGTGGAACTACTCTGCTCTCTGGAGGAAGGGCTGAAGGTGATGAAAAGGCTAAAAGATTGAGCACCGCAAGCTCCAGCAGTCTTTTTGCTCGTCTCACACGTGAGTTTCGGTGGCTCTTAGATGTACTTATAAGACGTCTTAAAATTCCGAAAATAACCAAAATAGCTTATCTAGTTGATTCTGCTACCCAGATATCTATTTTTCAAGGTATATCTGGACAAAGTATGGATTCGATGTGCATGCGTTTTTAAATGGTCGTAATTAAACAATAATATGTCTGAATGGAGTCATTTGTCGGTTGCATTCTGTTTGGTTGCAGGGTCTTAATATTACATGAAATTTTTCTTGTAATCTTCCAATTCCCAACTCATTCGATAACGTGCCAAAACCCTTTGTTATTTAGATTCATTAGAATTCTGCTTAATTAGCCGGCGTTGTAGGCCATTCAGCTTCTCTCAACAGATGCCCTCAAATTGTTGTCTCCGGAAACATTTATGATCATGTTTGGATTTGGGCTGGTTTGCGAGATCTGATGAAAGGATGCACGAGATGCTAGTGACTTCGATGTTGTCCAAACTTTGTACATGGTGTTTACAAAAAATGTCGAATGCTTATCAAATTGCTCGCCGTTTGGAGAACTGATTTTGATGGGCTGACGAGAAGGCGGTTCCCATTTTCAAAAATAACGTTGTTTTGGAGGAATCTTGTCAATATTCCTTTTTTTACTTTTGACATTTGCTGCATGTCACTTGGAACTTCCCTTAGGGGCACAAAATGCACTTCAGAATTTTGCAGCTGTCGATCATTTTAAACATAAACACAAAAACAAAGAACCTGCGCCTCACATTTTGCTTAAAGAATGTCCTTCTGGGATATTTTCACAAAAATCTGTCCTACATTCTGGTCGACCTGTAGAAATTGGTGGTGACCAAATCGAGTCGTCACACACCGTGCTAGAGATTCCAGTGCGGCTGCTGCATGTTGCACACACACACACCCACACAAAGCTCGAGAATACGTCAGTGGTGAGGCTCCTCCATACGCGCCTTTCCGCGCTAATTAAAAGAACTTCGCTTAGCACCGCGAATCAGTAATCGATTGTGACGTGCGCCTCACACGCAATGAAGGCGGCCCATTTGAAAGGAATCACCGTTGATTGCAAACAAAGGATCCCCTACATTGGGGCTAACCGTAGTCGTCTAGGCTCCAAGCGTGACGTATCAGCACAAACAACATCGATGGCTGAGTTGATTCAAAAAAGCCTTCAATTTAGTGCGATTGCGATGGTGCTGAGTTTCTTGGTCTGTTTTCAAGGCATCAAACAACCAAAACAGCTGTTTACTGTCAACCAATGACGAAACTTGAAGATGCAGTCAAAAATAAAGAGGCCAGGAATCAACAATTCACTGAGGGATTGTGTTTTGCCGAAAAAGGACAAGGGATCGTCTTTCACTTAAAACCACGTTTAGTTCGATTTACTGCATTGTGAATTGCAATGTTACCAGATAGATGGCAAAAGGTCAAGGAGTATTTTATACTAGGTGCAACTTTTTTCTCCGCATTGTTTCCTCAAATAATTTCTGATGTCGTAAATAGGTTTGATTCTGCTAATATTAAAATCTCCCCTGCGAAGCTGCCTGCTATTCGCCACGCCACCAGATTCAATGTAGTTCTTGCATGCGCCGAATCGGTTTTAGGAACTGGCCTTAGCATTTGTAATTGTGGTGTCCTAAGTGATTAGCCAGTTTAAACCTTGTTTACTAAACAGTTTTTGCACCATTATTCCATTATTTTGGTTTTCCTAAAATCTTACCTTCATTATGCAAAATATCTGATGACCGTAAAGTGCTGTCTGTATGTACCCTTTCTTTTTTTCTGATGTAGTCGATGGCCAGCCTGCTGACCCGTTGCTGGACGCGGAAGGGGATGAAGGTTCCGACGACGGCGAATTCGTTGAGTTAGAGGAAGATCTGGTCATTGATTTTGACGAGGCCTCCGTTGACCTGGCAACCGAAGCTTCCCCCTCACATTCATGTTCCGCATCCTCAGCGAAGGAGGAACACGAGTTTCTTCCCCTAATTTTCCTCCTCCCCAAGTATGCAGATGTTCGCGTTGAAAGCCTTCATCGACTGGAAGTTTTGGCTCGCACAACCCTTGACAAGGCGGTCAGCCAACTGGATCGACTGGTCCAGCTCTACACTGAGATCAATGAGGTATTGTATTATTTTTTTTCCCATATCTAATAAATTGAGACTGGATATTTTTTTATCACGCGATTCTACTGCGTCCTCTTGCAAGAAATCACCTATGGGTAGTGTGTGGTGTATTCTTTACATATAAATACTACCTACTGTATATGTGGTCAAAATTACGTAGTGCGAACCCAAAAAGACCCAAAATCCTGACAACGTTCGTTTTCGTAAGTTATCCGTTGTCATTCGTTGCACAGCCACTCTTTTTCCACATTTGAAACAATAGCCCTACAGTCTCGTTAAAATTGTCTAATTTATCCCTTTCGGATATATTACTTCGTGGTCACAAAGGAGGTTCTAACCTTTTAGCCATGCTTGTTCAATACATTCGCTGAAATCGCTTGTCACCCAACCTGTTGGAATATGTACCACGTATGTCGTAATCTCTTACAACGGCTTAGTGAGCGTCGTGTGTCGTGTGTGTATTTAAGACTCAGAAGTGTGAAATAGCTTGAGTCATAAATGTGCTATCATCGAGACGTAGTGACAATCCCAGATGAAAATACAGTATTATCAGGTGTGAGTTGGGGTCCTGGTCGGCTGACGACAGCTATGAAAAGGGGGGCAGTGTGTCGGAGACTGGAGCGACTGGATTACTGAGCATTAATCAAGCACTTGGTTTTTAATGCTCATCTTGTATTTCGTTTTTTTTTCTTGTTCTTCATCCTTTTTCAAGTAACAAGTATTTGGAAAGTGTTGTTTATGCCTAAATAAATAGGGCTTTGTGTGGTTGTCGGGAGTGTGCTATTCCAGTTAAGACAGTGTCCGTGGCTTTGCCTGTCGGATCGGGGCGTTTAGATGCACGTCAACTAAGCGACAATGTTTTTTGTATTGTCCGCATTGCATTTGCATATTCCAGGCCCGCCAGTGGATATCACGGGGCAATGGCCTTCTCAGTGCGCTGACAGCGGAACACGTGGCATGTATGGATCCAGTAGCCTGCGAGACAAAAATTAACGAACTAACTGCATTTTGTGACACGCGGGAACAAAACCTCGTCCTCAAGGGCAATCCAGGCCAATTTCGGAAGCAGTTCTCCGATCTACTCAATGCCGAAATGAAAGTGGGTTCAAAAATATCTTGTCTGTGCATTTCTCATAAACCCTGTTTATGCCTGCTCACTTAGTAAATTCACGGAAGACGTATCTCTCAACCCCAACCACTAGCCTTCGTGACAGCATTCTTTGAGAGGTTGTAAAGCCTTACATCTGGATTTTCTTTTCATGTCAAAACACTTGGGTGTGCACATGCCCCTTCTGTCCCCGCGCAGCCCAGTCACCCTCTTTTTTTTCGTATATTTCTGGGAGGACACGTAGGCTGCTATGTATCGACCCTAACTGGCCTGAAAAAGCTATCAAGTATGTCTACAGAAAGTGCATTTTTTATGATCACCAAGTCTTCTCTCTGCCGATTGTACCTTAGGCCGAAACTACTGCAAAGTGATTAGCCTACCAGTTTTTTGAGGCCGTTCGTTTGACCCAGAGGCCTAGTGCCTACCAGAGAAAATCGTCCGACTTGTAAACCAACGATGATCACCTCTATAAATGTCACATATTTCAGAATGTTTTACTTTAATCCCTGCTGACTTCAGCCGTAGATATCCATGAGCTCTCGCCTCCCAGTAAAGCGAATCACAGTGTGCGTTAATAGAGACTATTTCAATGTCGATGGTGTCATGTTTTTGAACCCATCACGAGCTGCTGGGGTCAATTGGTATATTGAAAGGTAACCTGATTTCTACCTACTTCTCCGTGATTGTAAATGCAGCGGCAGTCGCTCTGTGGATAATTACCTGAACATTTCAGGCACAGAAGTCGCCTCCTCTGTAAAATTGGTCATTTTATAGCTACTTTCTTAAAGCCTCACAAAGGGAAAATGTATTTTCCAATAACTTTTGGTTTTGGTCTTGGTAAAGTCGATTTCAACTGCATTTTGTTGTGAATCATATTAATTATTTCTATCTGCAATATTGAATTTTTCCTCTCCAAAATTAAGTAAATACTCTTTAATTTTGTGTGTCAACCTCTATTCAACTTAGAAAAAAAACCAGATTGCAAAGCTTATTTTATCTGCCTTTCGATATTTAATGTATACTGTAAAATTACTTCATTAAATTACTTTTACTACGTAATATGATTCCTATGATAACCAGCTGGAAATTCTAATCTGCTAAACTTTCAGAAAATTCATCAAAAATGTAATTGCATGATATTGTTTACCTTGTAGTGCATTCATTTTCATTGAACAGCTATAAAAACCCTTTAGTTCGTCTTTTGTAGATACCCTTCGTGGTGTTAAAAGTGGTCAGCTGATTTAAATAAGAGCGACTATCACTTAATAGCATGGTGACCTCATTTTTTCACGTTGCTTTAGGTTGAGTTAAGTCAAATGCTTCGATTGGTCGAGGAAGTTGAGCAGACCCTCAAGAAGACGGTGGCCGATTTGCGACAGCAAATTTCTCGCAACACTTTCCCCCTCAAACCCCCGTCCCAGCAACAAGCACTCGGACACCAGCACTCTGTGGCCCTCCTGTCCAAGCAACCGTCGATCAATGGGGAACAGGCGCCACTCAACACCGTGGTACGTCAGTTTGGTACTACCACGCCTGTACTTTTAGGCTTTCAAATACAGAAGTGTGTATTTAAGTGTACTCAGTCAATGAGTTTAATACTGTGGTAACTTTATAAATCGTATGGCTTTTATGGCGAAACTCAACACGAGTCGAAATGCATGCGACTATCAAAAAACCTGCCGTCGTGAGCAAATTATTGCTAGTCTTGAAATTGGCGTCGCTCCTCCCTTTAAACGCCATTCGAATTTCCAAAGCGTGTTTGTCACTGCACCTCGCGTCCCTTTGTTTAATGTTTAATTTTCCGCAACTATAACCGTTTTACCTGGTTTGTCGGCCTGGTCGTCGGTTCTGTGATCTACTTGATTGCGGTCTTAATTTTATGCCTATTCTTTGTTTGTATTCAAAGCACATCGACGTTGCCATGATATACCGTTAATCGGTTTTAAAGTAAACGCTTTTCATCTTCTCAGTGATACTACTGATAAGAAGTTAGACAACGTAACGTACCAGTTTGCTTTCACCAAACTTGTATGTAAACGCCTTCCCTTCGAATTAACCGACGAAGCGCTCGCATAGGGAGTTTTTTTATACTGAAGTCTAGTCTGATTAACCATAATCACGCGTGTGTAGTGAAACCGATGCCTACTTTTCAGGTGCTCGACCAGCCACCGGAAAAAGTTATGCAGAAACCTAGCAACGAAAGTCTATACCAGAAGGCACTTCAAGAACTACTGAACACCGAGGCGAACCACATTAATTTCCTTGAAGCCGCCACGAAGACCTTTTCGGACACCCCGAATGACTCGTCATTGCCACGTTTACCCACTATTGTGAGGGACAATCTTAGCATCCTCCTTGTCAACCTCCCCGATCAACTGTCCTTCCACAAGCTGTGAGTTCCGGTTCATTAGTTTATCTATGCGGTATTTGCCCCCGCTGATTCTCGACCTAGTTAAAATTAGCGTGCTTGAAGTCCCATTTATTGTTGGGTCGTTCTGTTTTGTACTGATTTCCTTGTCTGCTTAACGCTTTCTAGATTAGGGTAATTTGCAATATTTTGCATTTTCCCATCATTTACTTGCCTCCTGTCATTTCAATGTGACATCCGGTAATCGGAGTCTTGTCTTCTGATTGATGTTTTGAAACAAAAGAATGCGGCATGCGTCGGTGCTTTTTAGACTTCTTTTTTGTCTGCCACTTTGCGTGTTGGGATTTAAGTCGCCTCCAAAATCTGCTTCGTTTTGCTCTTACCGCTACACTTACCATGGTCAACTGACTGCGAAACCAAGTCTAACTTCTTGACAAAATTCCCGTTTCTTTTCGTAGATTTTTAAGATTCAAATTTGGGGAAACGCGTCGAATCCCATGCTCATAAAATTAAAACCTGAAAACTAGGAGCCACGGGGCAGGTTTCTTAGTGTCGCATGTTGCAGTTTTTATGACTACGTTTAATGCCCACACACACATGTGCAGGGCCATTTAACTTGGCATGTACTTTTCTTAACTTAGTGTAGTACCTTTGATTGAAGAGTACTTTTAAAATTCCCCGTATTCCATCCACTTATTTAATGCTGTATTAATCATCATTATCTACTTTTATCTTCTAGTCATTTCTACCCCCAGCTCCGCGCGTGCAACGGGGACCCTCTCTTGATTCAACAATTAATCGAATCATCGGTATGACTTTTTTGTTTTGCATGTTTATTTTCATCCCCTCGTTCGGTTATGTCATTCGGTATAATGGTAGCGAACGGTGCTAATCCCCATCACTTTTAGTCTTACGGACATCAGGTCGTTCTTTAGTTTTCGTCAGTAAAGAAACATAAGTCATGGATTTAGCTAACTTTCAGTTTTTTGGAAATCCTGAATCTGGTTAGCTGTGCTGTATCACCGTTGAATTACGTATATAACCTATGTGTTTTGTTTTCTTTGTTTTTTTTTTGGGATAAGGTCAATAAATTCGTTTTGCTGTGTGTTAGTGCAAGTAGAGTAAATCGTTTTGGTTTACTATGGACCTGTCTCGACTTGAGTCGAAGTGTTTGGAGAATGGTGGTGCTGAATTGACACTGTCAAATGCTGTAGTAAACGTGCAACAACTTTCGTCGTATTTACACAATTACGGCATGAGGTGGGTGATCGCGTGAAATAAACGTCTGAAATCACCGGTGCATCCACACAAGGTCTTTCTGTTTTCGCCTCTTTCCTTGCGATGTCTCCTTTGGTGGCCTACTTCATATCCCGTACTAATTTGTTCGACACGTAATCAAGCCCCCCATCGGCATATCGTCTCTTTGCTTAGTTGTGTCCCTCTTAATCCTGGTGTGTGCGTGTGCGTGTATGCATTTTTACAGGCCTTTCTTTTTTCCTTTGATTTTACTTACTCATTCGAGTATCAGGTTATTCCTGCTAGTATCCACCCGTGCCTAAACTCGAGATTTCTTTTCCATCAGCCACATGCGATCTTCAGTTACGAACACTTGAATTAGTAGTCTAAGCACCTGAATACTAGATTGATTCTTGCATTTGTTATTTAATAATTATGGCATAGAAGCTGCACCCAATGATTTCATAAAGCGTACTATTGTGCTGATTGTTTCAACAAGGTCTTAGTCAACCGGCTCACTGCCCGTTGAACAGCGACCGTTCACCCGCTCGGAGTCAAGACAGACCACTTTTCCTCTAAAGATTGAATCGAAACAGTTTGATGCACTCTTAAGCTTGACTGCCCCACTGTCAAGTACATGGCCGACCGCGGCTTCTTTTAGTTGAAATTTCTTAAATTTGGTATTTCGAGTTGACTTGATTGAATCTGGCCTCCTCGTAGGACACGTGAGAGGTGCTATGCCATCTACCTCTGTTCTTTTAACTTGGTCCCCTGTCTACCTGAATGTGCTTCTCACCTTTTTAGTCGGCGAATCGTGTTGTGTGTATGATTGCGCGTTTCTCGACCTCGTAACGGTATGCATCAGAATTCGTCTCACTTGATTCAGAGGCCATACAAGTTTCAGAATGCCAATCGCATTGATTTACCATCTACTTAGGGCTGATGAGTGTTGCTGAAGGTTTTTAACCTCGGTTCTCATTTAAAAAAAGTTACTATTTTTCCATACTAGGGCCCACGGTTCTCCTATTTAATATCTTTCAGCGTTGCAGTTTGTTGTGAACAGAGGGTTACGTGGTAGGTTTCGCCCATCTAATGTCCACATAGTTTAACCCAACCATCTAGCTTTGGGTTTGTAGTAACTTTTTATTCGTGGCTATTTTTGCAATATGCTTACATACACATCTTAGTTTCAAACTACTGGGCTCTCGCTTTGCTTAAATATGTGCAGGAGACTCGTACATCCCTTCCCGTGCCAATTAGATCGTACCTACACATATTACGCAATTTTCGAAAAGTCTGCTTATTGTTTTTTGGTCTTGTGCGAAAGCCCAGATCATGACTCCTTTCCCTCGTTTTTTTTCTTCCATTGAACATATTGATGTCGCCATGTTTCAACATAAAACTTTTGATTCGTTTTATTAACTGCACACTTGTTTCTGCTTCGTTTTGCAATTTCGATTTCAAAGTACCAATTTCTAGAGAAAATGCGATAGCCCAGTCCCCTGACGTTTTCTGATTCTTTTCTTGCTGTGTAGTGGGCCAGTATGGTGGATCTGTACACAAATTACTGCCTTAATTACGAGCGTGCCACTCAGTATGCAGCTGCTTTTGAAAAGGATCGAGTCCACTCCCAGTGGATTTCTGCCTACAACCGACATCTTAACCTTCTCGAGACTACCAACCCCGAAGACAATGAAGTCGAGCTTCGGAGGAAGGTATCCAGTCTGAATCGAGTGAGTTCCTGTGTTTCCTTCCGAAACCCTCCTTCGAATGTGGATGAGGATAGTCATAGAAGCGATGAAAACGAAGAGAATTTGCCTCCACCACGGAAGACCTCGCAAGGCCCCACACCCAAATCCGTCTCCCTCTCCAGACCCTTATTGTCGTACAGTTCGCGCCTCCTAGAGCCTGCTCAACGTTTCCAGCGCTATCACCTTTTGATTGAGCGGCTAAAGAACTATGCACCGGAAGGCCCTCCAAAGTATGCTCTTCCCTCTGTTGTCTTCCAACATTGCTGCTGCCTGTTGCAATTTTGAGCACTTTGTGCATGAATGAATATGCGTCTTCATTTTACAGAAAATATTGGATAATTTTGTCATAATTGTTGTAAACAACATGTATTTGCTTTTGCATTGTTATATAGGCAATTCGAGTCTTTGGTGTGACTGTGATCTCGTTTCTTTTTTAGAGAAGCGCTGGCAAAAGCCCACCAGTCCATGCTCGATATGTGCAATACAGTCAATGCTCTTATGCGAATACGAGGTCTTATGGTGGGTTTGGCCCTCCGCCATTTCACATTGAATTCTTACCTTTATTTCCTGCAACTTACGGCCTGGTGTTCCCTCCTTATCTTGATTTGTCGCTCAAGTCATTCTAATTTCCCTCCTCCCCGCCAGCTGTGTCCCAAATCAAAATGTTCAATCTCTTCTACTCACTAATTTGATCTTATGCAACAAACCACATAAAATGCTTGATTGGCAGTGTTAACTGAAACTTAGTTGCCCGCTTCTTATACTAATTTACAATGCTTACAATTGTGGTGTTTTTCAATGGATTGGATGAGATTAGAGCCGGTGTTTAGAAGTTGCAATCTCTGACAGTGTAGACCTCTTCGTCTTTTCTGCACCCTGAAACTCAATCCCACGTGGCTGCCGTCTATCTCAGTTTATGGTCTTGTTCGAACACTGGATGACACTTTATTTCTAATTTCCAGGATCGTCCTTCACGCCTTGGACGTCTACTACTGCAAGGCAGTTTCACAGTGTGGCGTGAAGACAGCCGAACTGGCAAGCACCAACGACATGTCTTCCTTTTCGAAAATGCTATTCTCTTGACGAAGTTACGCCAACCGAATAATTCCCTAGTCTCAACAATGCTGGCCACTCTGAGTAGCAGTGGAGCAAGTAGTCAATCCCTTTCGTCTGCAGTTTCGTCGGTGGTGGACCCGAACCTTGAAGAGTCGACTGCGAAAATGGAGACTGAAGGTGCGGCTATAAGCCTTCCTTCCATTGCCGGAGATGCTCATTCATCGAAAGCAACCTACGAAATAAAGATGGAACTCTCGGTGAGCTAATGTTGTATGCTGCTTTATTAATTTCTTGTGTATTTACCAATTTATGGTTTTTGTTTATTTTTGTCTCTCCGTAAAACTGACCATTACCTTTTAAGATTTGTGCTCTCTGTTGGAAGAACTGTTCATCTGGCACAAGTCTGTGTACCTCAGAAGGCCAGCGCTCACATTTTGTATGCTTGCGCGAGTTAGAGATTTAAGACTTAGGTACCTTGCTACACTAGCTGCCACTAGAGCGGGTGACCCTTCTGCCACGAACGGTTTCTTACTCTCCATTGTTCCGTTAAATAGCTTGTTGAGGTGGGTTTGACACCTAGCATTCGGGAAGATCGCCGTCGATTCGCGGTGTGGACGGCAAGTCGTGCGCAGACCTACATATTCCAATCGAACAACTCACAGACCCGCACTCAGTGGGTTCGTGCAATCAACGATCTCCTCTCTGCCCAACTTAAACGCCTCCGTGACGACGTGAATCGACAACATAACGTCGCCACCTATTCAGTTTCCCAATCCACGCAAAGGTCGTCTCCGCCCCCATCACAACAACGAAATTGTCAGCATCCAGAATGCATCTCTGGTAACTCCTTTGAAGAGCATCTCGACGAAGAGGAAGAAGTCGCCACCACGGATTTTTAGTTGGTACGATGCCAGCTCGTCCGCGGAATTTCGTTTTTCGACGTCAACAAATTTAAATTCGTCAGAACCAAGTCTGTGTTTGGCATTTTGCCCCTCATGTTGATCACTATTGAGGCGATTGCGTTCTGCACTTACCTTAACTGCGTATGTGGTTGAAGCCTCTGAGTCCACTGCCCCCAATGCTGACATGCCGCGTTCCGACCAAACTGTTTTAACTGCGTCCTGAGTAGTTATGCCTGATTGAGGCCTTCCGGCACATAATGTCATCTCAGTTACACATGCCAGCTGTCAATGTATGCTGATAACGAGGTTTAAAACAACGTCATCTAGGGTGCCACTGTCATCATTGAGAAATGCGTACCTTATATTATTTTGCAACACTCCTCGTTAATAATCTTACTTGTCTCTGTTGCCCCTAGGACATCCCCAAAGGATAGGATTTTGATGAACACACTAGATTAAGTATCAATAAAGCCATGTCTTGTCGCACGGATTCCAAATTCATCCTCTTTTCGGAGTTCGTCTATAATCTCTTGTTAATCTTTTTGCTGTAATTTTATTTCGTTTTTTTCCAGTATCACCAATCCGTAATCTCAAGAAGCAACTCATCTCGTCTTTCACTCTCCTCAAATTGGCTCTTATGTACATAGGCTTTAGTGCTATGCCACCATCTCAAAATATTTCCCTTGATTGCATTTCATTCGAATCAGCCCACTTCCAGACCCGTGTAAAGCAATTCCACACCACCACGGCCACTGCATTCCCCGCCTTCCCATCCCTACTCACCACAGAACACGTTGCGTCTCCTTGTCTACTACTCTATCTTACTAACTAACAGTACTTTTACGTATTTTGTAATTCACATGTTTATGGCTATTCGTACGCTCGAGCGCATACACATCCCAGAATATGTTACATTATGTACTTCCGATGTCTATATTGATGTACTTGAGTAATAAGATGGAGTTTTTCGCGATATTTCATTTTTCCATTAACTTTGTCTGATTGTATTTGCATTGAAATAGCATAATGTGGTTTATTTGAGGTGTGGTTCATGGTTGCTCTTTTTTTCGGTGTCACTTACATATTTATTTTGCGGTGATCTTGTTCCACCCACCAATAAATAACCGTCTGACTTTTCGATGAAACTAATTTCAACGAATTCAGTTCCCTTCGGTTTGCCAAGAACCGATTGCATCTTTTTGTGCCTAAGATGATTTTAGGGTCTCAAATCGTAAAAATAACCGTCACTAATGCTCAATTCTAAATGCTTACTTCTGTTGTATTTGTTTCTTTCTCAATACCAAGCTTATAATGGTGAAATTTCAATAGACCAAAGTGGATCTTTGGTTATGTTTTTCTATTTGGGCTGTCCAACATGACGAGTCAACCGTTTTCTCAATTACTTGCTTAGGTTATTTGCACTACGGCATTGCCTTACGTGTTTTTGTAGATTAGCTATCAAAAGAATATGGGTATGACCAAAACGCAATGGTCAAACTAACTAAATGATCGGAATCAAGTTGAAAAGCGACCAACACAAGAGCTAGTTTAGTGTTGCTATGTCTGTGTAACGTTTCTTTATTTTGGGAGGTGATTGCGACTCGCCATATTAATGCCATTTTAAATTACCTAACTTTAATATCTATCGGATGCTTGTGTTCTTGAAGAGGTACATTCTTAACATTTATTTCGGAAATGTCCTTATAATTTCCCTATATCTCTGGCGTAGTTGTTTGGTGTTCGGTGGGTTGGAACCTTGTTTGTGCTTTTCTTATGCTTATCGGCTTGTCCTGCATGTCTTCTTGAGTTTGTGTATGGCTAGCGCTGGTAGACGAATACGTCCACTTTCGAGGGCATTCCATACCTTTTTAATTATTTCTGTGGCTTTATGTATCATTGAATTTATGGATGCTTCATAGCTGAATGAGTCATGAGTCCTAATTGATGCGACTTGATCTCCACTGCCCAGATTCAAATCAGGCGCATAAATTTCCTTTCAACTCTAGGCCAACCATGACTACGATTGCATTCCCATTAGTTTAAAACTTCTCTTTTCCGAAAAGTCAGACTTAATGTTTTGGTGTGTCTGTTTCCCTTCTCGTTACTTTCCGTCAAATTCTGGAATATAGGTGTTGCTTTCTTTTATATCAGCCGTAATCTCCGCCTGATTGGAACTGGCTGATCTGAAAGAACTTAATTCCAACAAGGAAAGCGAAGAAGAAGCAAGAGAAAGGGCTGTGGAGGAATTCGAACCTGCATTAGGCCTTCGGCCAGCTTATCACCCCCCACCCGTTGAAGAAAGCAGTCTAGACTTATCGTCGGGACCTGCGTCTCCAGACCACTCGTCCCCAACTCAATTTTCCATGACCCAGCACCTTGTCAGTATTTTCCAACCAAGCCTTAAACAACTTGATAACTCACTAGAGGTCTATCTTCTTACACAGGCAAAACTTAAACAGCTAATTGAAAGCATTTATCAGGGTGAGGCTTCCCTTGGTCTTCCTTTTCGTAACCTCCGTTTATGGAATATTTGCAGTGTGATTTAAGGTTTGCGTTGTCTGATCCTGTCTTTTTGATCCTTATAACTTCCGGCTTTTAATCATAAGTAGATGTAGAGCCATTGTAGACCATCTGTGTAATCCAAAGGGATGCGAAATTCGAGTAGGTTAGTGGCTACTCTACAATAATATTTTATGCGATCGTATCTTGTGTTCATACGGCGGCGCTCACACGCAGGACTGCTGTTAAAATCCCAGTATCCCATCTTATGATTTTCACCTTTAGCCATGCAATCTTTTCGTAAGTTTCCTCTCCTTTCTTAGATTTAACGCACTCGGCGGTTCACATCACCCCTCCAGTTGACTTGGAACAGCACACAAGAAAAATAAACAGCGCAATTTCACGCCTTCTGGTTGTAGAAAACCAATTGCAGCGCATTCAGGTTGGTGAAATGGTCATGTGGGATGTTTACTATGCATTGGTGTTTTGCACAATTAAAGCCTTGGGCCTGCTTATCTGTGCCATGGCCGACATTTCTAGCGCGGTTTAAACATCCGTCTATCATCTTCCCTGCACATAGTGTAGTGTACGGTGTGCCTTAGTTTATTATTTTGGTCGAGTTAATGTTTTTTGTACTGTAGACTCGTATCCAGGCACTGCAAGACCGTATATCGTCTTAGTTAAGTTGTAATGTCTGGCGCGAGCACAAAATCCGTCACGCAATTCCTTCGTGGTCTTGACCTTTCGGGCGTGAATTTTGGTTCGGTGGGGGAGCATGTGGCGGCTCAGTCACCCGATGGCATAGCCAGACGCAACAAGAACAAGGCCGTGGTGTCTGCCGCATCGGCTGTTCTGCCCTGCACCCATCCGCTAGCCAAGATGTCTCGACTCGAGTGGCTGAAGCTTCGCAACTCCGAGCTGACTAATTCGGACCTCCCCAGCGAACTCAAATATCTCAATCGTCTGGAATACCTGTCATTAGCTAAAAACAAGTTGACGCGCCTCACCTCCATCTCTGATTGGCCACGGGTCTTCCCCAATTTGCGAGTGCTTAACTGTCGAAAAAACCAGTTAGCCGGTCAGGATGCAATTCCTCCAGATCTTTTTCAATGCCCAAACTTGCAGGTTTGCCGCCATTTGCTTACCTATCATTCTATTTCGTTCGTAACTAAATGCCATTTTTTGCTATCCCTCTTTATCACTTAAGCTAAACGCTGCTTATTCTAATGTCTGGTGCATGCGGTCGGCGGGTCAATACTTTAACTGCATTATTAGCTTAATGAAACACATTGGTTTGCTTCCCGAGTTAGAAGTCGGCAAAATTCTGACTTGAATACTACTTTTGTGTTTGGGTTTGTCTTTACTTCAGCCAGTTAGTTTTTTCCCCACAGGTAATCGATTTCAGTTGCAATCAGCTGACGCAGGTACCGAGAGGTATCGAAAATGCCTCGGGTCTTCTGGTGTTGAATCTTAGTGACAACCAGCTCACCTCAGTTCCGCCAGAGATCTTCACAGAATGCACAGAGTTAATGTTGCTTGACCTCTCCGACAACCATTTGACAGTTCTTCCAGCCCAGCTACGGCGCTGCTCCTCTCTCCAACAACTCATCCTTAACCGCAATCCCTTCCAACATTATCAACCTCGAACCATCATCTCCATCAAAAATCTCGAGGTAATCGAGTTGGTTTAATGGGTGAAATTCACATCCAGGCAGTTTTTATCAACTTCGCTCCAGGGAACTTTTTTAACCACTGCTGCCCTTTTCCTGATATTTGACTACCTTCGTGTGCATTTTTCAATTTACTGCATTTGCTGAAGCCATCTTTGTACTGCTATCCCCAGCCATGGTCACCCTCATTCCAGTAGCCTTTGCTTCAGTTGAGAGATTGCTGACAAAATCGATGTTTGTTTTGAGCACATTTTACAAGCCCACATCCATTAACTTTCCATTTGAGGCATTCGTTCTGCGGTGCTCACTTGTCATTTACTTCAGGCAAACATTACATTCGTTGCGCCTCTGAAATCTGACGGTCCAGGTTATGCTTTGGTCGCTTAGCTTGATCAACATTTTCTAGCTTTTAGCGATTGACTCTCCTTGTTTTATCTACTTTGACTTGCAATAGTCTGGTTTGTTTAGCACTGTTCGGAAGTGTTCTCTTTGTCCTTGCTCGCTTATTCATCGTCATTATTTTTAATTACTAGATTCATGACTTGATAAGGCCAACAATTACTCAAGCCCACATTCATAAGCGACGAGACGTTTCCTTATAAAAAGAACACAGTCTCATTCATTTTCAGACTCATTCCACTGGTGTGGTCATTGTTATTTATCATAGGTAACAAGGTAAAAATGTAAAGTTGTTTTACGCATCGACTCTCCTGACATGACTTGGATTGTAGTGCCAAATGGGTGGAATTATTTGTTTCGTTATTTAGGTACTTCATATGTCCGGTACCCAACGACGTTTAGATAATATCCCCAAAGAACTCGATCGTCTAACAAAGCTAGTTGATCTCGATCTGTCTCATAACCAACTTGTGAGTATTCCTGAACCCGTATTTGATTTACGTGCCCTTCGGAAATTGGACGTGAGCCACAACGAGATTAGTGAGCTCTCAGCCCTCACCGACAACTGGCCCTCACTGGAGTACCTCAATCTAAGCCACAACCAACTCGTCAGTATTCCCTCGGGCCTCACTCGGCTGACAAAGTTGCGGAAGCTCTACCTCAACGATAATCAGCTCACATTCTCCGGCCTTCCCTCGGGCATGGCCAAACTAAATGACCTGGAGGTACTCAATGCGTCAAATAACAAGCTCGAAAACATTCCCGAGGGTAAGCAACGGTGCTGTTGTAGGCTCATTTCTTGTACACACCTTTTTCGCCCAATTTGTGATGCAACACCTAGTTCATCTTCTACCAGTTGTAATATCTTCGTTGTATTTCGGCAACTTGTGCACGTCTACTGTAATATGTTCTAATAAGTTTATCTCTTAACTGCGTGAATTGTAATTATGCTATCTTCTGCTACAAGGAATCGGGAAAAAGTATTTGATTAAACTGTATAGGACACCAATACATATTACAATATCAAAGATGTCCAGGAGGTAATCTCAAGTCAATGGAGTTGAACTCTTGTATAAATTCTCCAACACATTTTATTTTTATCGCTTCATATTTTAAGGAACTATTGGCATATTTCTTCTCCCTTCTCAACCGTTCATACGCTGTCTGCCAATGAATATCAAGGTATCTAAGTCCCATACTCAGAGTGCATTCCGAAGGTGACTACTGCCAATCGTCCACAATTCTGTTGCCACTATGTTGAGCCTCTAAGGATGCAGAGAATAGCCGTTGTTCTAAATGTACCCTTGTCCTTTTGGTGCGAGCCAGCTCCTGTTCCTGCGGATTAAAGGCGCAGTAATCCTAAGATTAATTGATATCTTGGTGGTTCTTCAATTGAGGTGCTACGTTTATCACGAAAACGGCGGAAAGAAAGAAACGTTAACTTTGGCTCCGTGTATGACAGTTATTGCACTAGTCGTTTTGGCTACTGACTCTCTGAGATGATATTCTCGTGAATATTTTTTTCGTGTTGCTCTGTCCAAAGCTAGTATAAGTTTGTTTCCATTAGCCGGTCATAATCCCTAGGTAGCTGTTTCTTTGTAATGAGTTATTGTATGGTATAGGTTGTGCAAGATGTTGGCTCTGCGCACGCAGGATGAGGTGAACAGACTTCATGTGACGTATGTTCTAAAGCCCTTCCCCGTTGTAGGACTTTGCCGATGTGGCCGGCTTAAGCGTCTTATCCTGTCTAACAATGAGCTGGAGACTCTTCCAGACGCCATCCACTTTTTGGTTGAAAACTTGGAAAAGTTTGATGTTGACAACAACCCCAAACTCCGCTTCCCACCCAAACCACCAGCGCTGCAGAAGGGCGCCGGCCTGGCCTTCTACAACATCGACTTCTCACTGGATGGCCAACTACAAATGATGCGTGGAATCGCTCCTGAACCCAGCGAGGATGTCAAAAAGGGCAAGGTTGGGAACATTGCCCTTTTCATATTTTTGACAGACCAGTCTTACACTAGACCACAATTATAAGGAAATGTGGTGCAGAAAAATCTACTTCAAATGTTTTATGCATTTTAAATTATTTGCCGCTTTCCTAGGAATCTTAATAATCCGGTTCATTAATATTGCCTCCTGTCTGTGCATAGATTAGAGGATGCATCTCAATGGTAGTTTTATGCGCACATAAGCCGTTTTTGAATGAGTACGTTTGCTGGAGGCACGCAATTTTGCGCCTTAGGAGTCGGCGGCGAGGCTGAAGCGAATGCGTCGGCGTCGACTTGACGGAGGCGAAAACTCAGCAGACGGCACCGAGGGAAGTCAAGTTGTGCTGGCTGGCATGCGTCACATCGCCGGCGAAAAAGATGCCATCATGCGCCGACGCTTTGATGAGGCTGCGCAGGCTGAGGAAAAGCAGAATGCCGGAAAGCGCTGGAAGGAGGCACTAGCCAAGCCCAATTTAGACTACAGTGATATCTTTGACGAAGTAGGTGTCTTCTTTGCTCGTCTATTTACCTCACCCCAACCTCGCCTGCTCTATCCTCTTTTGGTCTGTCTTCTTTTCGTTGTCACCGCTCTGCCTTTGCGCTTTGTACATTCTTGCAATTTTGCATCCAAAATAACCACTGGTAGCCACTGCTGTTCACCATCTCAAGCCTGTTTATGTGGAAAAAATTGCACCTTGAAGGGTCATAAATTTCAAATACTTGTCGATGCATTTATTTGTTAATTTTTGCATCCTGAAAGCCCTGCTCCGTTTGAATTAGACGTGGTTGTTCTTTTTGTTTTATACTTCGTTGACGTTTTTTATCATCTATTCAACATGTTTCACCGTTCTTCTTTGAGTGATCGTTTTCATGCTCTCTCTGATTTTTTTTTCGAATCCAACACGGTCCTTATTTTTGCTGTCCCTTTAGGACGCAGGGACTCAGCTGGGCGTCGAAATCTGGGTTATTGACGAGTTCTACCCGAAGCGATTCGAGCCCGAGGATGAGGAGTACGTGGGTCAGTTGTACTCTGGGGACTGCTACATCGTCCTCCAGACCAGAGAGGCGACTGAGGTGCCCACAGATGGGGGTGCGACCGGCAATCGCGAGTGGCGTATCTTCTACTGGATCGGCTCAAACGCCACTCTGGACAAACGCGCCTGCGTTGCCATGCATGCGGTCAACCTGCGCAACTTCCTTGGCATCGACGGGCAGACACAACGCGAGGAACAGGGTGAGGAGTCGGCCGACTTCCTCTCCCTCTTTGAGGGGCACAAAATCACTGTGTTGGAGGGGTCTAGTGGCAGCACCGGGCTCCACATCGTGGCATGCAAAGAAACTGCTGTTAGAATGTATAGGTGTGTGTCTTTCCACTCTAACCCGATCATTGCTTTGGTCTTGACCATTGTACTTTTGTTACTTGGTATAACCAAGCGCGTAATTCTCTTGGTACCTGGGATTTATGTTCAATCGGGTAGAAGTCTTTACAATAATGTATATTTAGTTGAGCAAATTCGAAACTCACAAACCATAAAATTCAAATATTTTTACTTTTATATTCTCCTCAGGCCAAATTTGTACTGGTAAAGCCTCTCAAACTGGCAATTCGTTAGAAGCATAAATTGTGGATTGTTAGTGAATTTGGTTGAATTTGAGTTAAATGATGCATTTACAGGTATCCTTCACTTTTTTTTAAAAATTAATTCAGTTTGCTCTGATATACCTTCATTGCCATCCAGGGGAAAACTTCGTCAATTTTAACTGTCTATCCTGACACGGATTCCTTCGTTTATGCATTCAGTGACTTCTTGTCTACTGTGCTGAATGTATGAAAATCTTATGTTTGTCTTACATGGTAGCCCGCTTATTTCGTGTCATTTTTACGTCGCTAATTTTTGTGTGGGAGATCATTTACCTTTCTAAGGGTTCTTACCTTTGTTTCTAATATGAATTACCCCTTTAGTTTCATTTGCCAACTTGGTCACTTGTCCACAAATTAAACTGACACAATCGTCGTGTCAACGTTAGTAACGAGTGTGTTGATTGGTTATTGCGTTTGCTGTTGTTATTCGTGCCTTATAGGCTGTTTGGTCAAGAGAAGACTATGTACATAGTCTCCATGCCAGTTAGTCCGGCTAGTTTGGATCCCAAATTTGTCTACCTTGTTGACGGTGATTCCTGTCTCTACGTGTGGTTTGGTTCGAAGTCGCGCCTCATCATCCAGACGCGTGGTCGTCTGTTGGCGGAGAAAATAGCACAGAAGGAGCGCCTAAATGAGGCGACAATCTCGCTCGAGTACGAGGGCCGTGAGTCCACCGAGTTTTGGGCTGTTGTAATGGGGCTCTGGAAGCCACCTCCCCGCCCCCCTGCCGTAGAGCACCAGGAGGAGAGACCGGTCCAGGCGATAATCGACCACCCGAAACCACCCACCAACATTCCGCGACCTCCTCCCGCCCGTGACTACATCTCTGTGGACTGGAAATTGCCCAAGCCCATTCTCTACGATGTTAAGCTCGGCAAGGGCTATCTGGAGCTCCTGCAGGTAGCTCCTCGTTTTAGTGTTTGCTTCCATTTTATGTTTAGTTTACCTCACATTCTAGTGAATTTTTTCCTCTCTATGGGGATTTGGATGACATCGAGACTTATCTCCAAATTTTCCACCCTGTTGATTTTTCACATTCGCCTGAAAAGTTGCCGTTGCAAGGTAGCCGAACGTCAGTAATAATTAATGTTTTCTCACCAAAATGATTCCATCAATGGTGGAAATCGATGTTAACCATATTGGTTCTGTTTAAAGTTCATTTGTATGTCTTTAAGCGTCAGAAGATCGCGTTTTGTCATCACGAATTGTCCAATTTTGTCACCATAACTGGCCAGGTTATTCATTCACTTGGTTTAATCGCTTTTTTTCTGCACAGGTTGATCTGCCTCCTGGCCAGCAGCTTACACGCGATATTCTCAACTCGGAGAACGTGTACCTTGTAGATAGTGGAGGTGAACTCTTTGTGTGGATGGGAAAAAGGTCGGCCAGGTTTTTGCGCTACGCAGGCTTTAAGCTGGCCGAGGAGTTGACTGAGGTGATGCCGAGGGGCTGCTTTGGAGGAGCCGAGGAGGCCCTCATCAACGAGATCGTCGAAGACAGCAGCATGGAGCAGATTGTCACCGCGCACAAACGGCTGCACCCCCAGCCATGCCCCGAGGGCGCGGAGAGCGAGGTTACTTGCGGTGCCTATAAATCTCGTTTTGTTGACTCTTTTTTGCCTGGTCATCATCCTCTGTTTTCCAGCCCACTCATTTGCCATTTATAAAAATACCTTCCTTATTCCCTCCCTCTGCCCTGCTTTTCTAGACTTCTTTTCTATTGAATGATGGTCGTGTTATTGCTCTTTGCCGATGTTTAAGACATCATTTGTCACCATCGTATTTTGAAGGACTTGGACCCAAATACGGATTTTCATGTTTTTCAAATTTTAGTGCTAACTGCTACGTTATGCAATGTCTAAGAGTGAAACTACTCCGTAGTAGATTTCCGCCCGTCAGTGTCGCATGTATTTACTTGTTTTCGTCAAACTCCTCATGGCTTCTTTCTGCAGATTTTCAGAGCCCAGTTCGTCGGCTGGGAGCCGGCGATGGCGGTAGATTTCACTCGCACAGCCCAGTCAGTGACCGCACGTGGCGCCGACCCCAACGTCATTTTGGAGCGCGACCAGATCAAGACGGACCTCCGCGCTCTCCTAGCGCCCCGCGAGACACCCCTGCCTTGGGACAAGGCAATCCAGCTGATGAATGACCTTAATTATGAGCTAATCGAGCCGCCGGACTTGAACGCCGACTTTGGTCAGGGTTCGCCCACTCCCTCTCTTCAGCAGTTTGTTATTCTCGACAGAAAGTGGGCTCCTGTCGAACCGAAGTGGTTTGGACACTTCTTTAATAAGGATTCCTATATCGTCATTGCGCGATATTGGGTGAGGCCAAATCACTTTGATTAACCAAAATGCGCAGCTGTTAATGTCGAGTCAGATGGGTCAAGCATTTTCAGGTCTGTGAAACCGCTCCATAGTTGATAGTTGCATGTGTTGTGAGTAAAAATGACCATTACTAGACATCTGCTTTTAGATTATTGTGCAACACTGACCCTGTTTCGCATGGTGAATTTGCTTATAGCGTGTATTCATCTCACTACTCTTTGTTGCGAAACAAATTCCTTTACCATCGTATTCCTGTTAATTAGGTTGTTAAACTAAACAGTACTAAACTATTGGCATCTACCACCGATGTTCGGGCTTCTGTCATGAATTCAAAGAAAACTTTTTCGGATGGTTGCACTCAGTTTTTGTACATCTCTCTGGAGTCAACGCATCTTGAGAAAGGTCGGTTCGCGTCTACTCGAAGTGTCCAATACGACGATGTAAATACGCGTCTAGTGGCCCTTCATTTTCCAGAAAACGACGTATTCCCTACCTTAGAGTTGATTTTGCAGATCTTTATACTAGCATATTTCCCTTTTTTATTCCACAGGATGATGTGTTTCCAGCAAGTGAGGAAGGTGGTAAGAGTACAAGCGATATTCAAGATAGCGAGGAACTTCAGTCTTCAGGCGAAAAGACCGAATTAGTCGATGAGGATGCCGAGGATCTGGAAGAGGAACCAACGAAGACGGTCGTATACTTCTGGCAGGGCCGTGAGGCCTCTGAACTCTCATGGCTCACCTTCAACTTCTCCCTTCGCAAAGACATGGAGGCCCGCCTTTCTCGCAATCCCAACGCCAACGGTCGACCTCTGAGTGTGGAGTTCAAACGCGTGAAACAGCAACAAGAGGACATGTACTTTCTCGCCCATTTCATGCGCAAAATGGTCATCCACCAGGGTAGCTATAGGGACAGGGAGTCGGCGCAGCGACTTGACCAGGTTCACTTCTACCACATGAGGATGAATGGTAATCCAATCGCCACCCGATGCCTTCAAGTACGTTTCTTGCGCCGGATTTCTTTCTCACTCGAAAATGGTTCGACTAGGGAAGTATCCTTCATCGTCTCACTTTTTGTTTATGAAGTCTTGAGAATTGTAGTAATTTTCTGAGACGATGTGCTGTGTGTCAACTGTCAATATCTTCATCTCCGGTTACTTTAAATTGGCGAATCAGCAGGGGTCAGAATCTGGACTTTTAAGTAGACCTGTAATGGCCTCTGAAGTGCTGGAATCTTTTTCCCACCTTTTTTGCAATCTGTTATAAAAAAAAGATGTGCATGTATCTTCTTGCGGACAAGAAGCCTCCGATCTATGTTCAACTCGTTGGTACTGAATGATGCATTCTGATATGAAAATCCGAAGGTAGTTGTGATTCGGTTTAATTGGCCCACATTTGTTGCAGGTAAAGCCGTCTGTACAGATCTTGAATTCGTGCTTCTCGTACATTCTTCGCATTCCAAAGGACGTGAACGGGTGCCACATTGATAAGGCGTTTATTTGGCTTGGAAGCTCAGCGCATCCAGACGACGTGAACATATTGAAAGCCATCTGCCACCAGATCTACGATCAGGTCAGTTTGAACATTCTCCGTGTGTCTCATAAAGTACGCAAACCGCACTATTTGCTTTGCTAATTATTAAGCAATTAAATGTTATTAAAATCCTGACATCCTAAACGCTCATTCCGCGCTAACCATTTTCATAGCTATCTTCTAGTGTAGGTGATGAATACCTCATGGTTGGATCTGCAGAACTTGTCCCACCATTTTACCAGTTTAATTTTTTTGTTGGCTGACTCTCTGTGGAAGTAGTTTATGCTGCGGTCGCAACATCTAAATCATCAGATGCGTTCGCAACAATTAAAAGGTTTCATGGAAACTCTTTTGGAATCATCTTTTAAAGCCTTATTTCGGTTGGCAAAGCCAGTTCAAGGCTCTTGATTGAGTTTAACAGGGCAAACACGGAGTCAGTAGTGAAGCCATTTATCAGCGGAAACATCCCAGGATAAAAAACAACGCGAAGCGTCGTATGCTTGGTAGTAACAAAATAGCGCTAGTCGTTTCATTTCACTGCTTAGAAACAATAGATGTTTTAAATTTGTTTGACCTACTGCGTCTTATCCGCCACCTGTACTCGACTTAAAACAAAGTGCTTGACTTTTTTTCCGGAAACTGTTGAACATGTTGCATTGAAAAGATTTTCGAAGTGAGGTCAGGCCGATGTTTCATCCGACAGTTTCCTGCTTTAATCAAATAACTTCAAGTGAGGTGAAACAACACTTTACTCTAAAGTGGTGTGCATTCAACTTTTACGTAATGTGTGTACACGGTAGTATTTTCTCAAAATCATATAATTATTTATTTATGCTATTCAAAATTGTCTTAAGCGTTTTTGTTTTGTATGCGTTTTACCATTCATTTCTCTTGAAGCCCCAAACTGAAGTTGAGATAGTGCCAGAAGGAGAAGAGCCCGACGTTTTCTGGACAGCGCTCGGTGGAAAGCATTCGTACGACAAAACGGCGGAGTACATGCAATACGCTCGACTGTTTAGGCTATCGAATGACGCCGGATATTTCCATGCCTCAGAGAAGTGTGCTGATTTCTGTCAAGATGATCTCGTCAACGATGACGTCATGATGCTTGATACCGGTGACCAGGTGTGTTGGTAGAATGCTTTGACAAGTGTAGTGCTCATTATTCGATCACATTAACGCTGGGTCTTCGCTTACAGATCTACCTCTGGCTGGGTCGAAAGACCTCGGATGTGGAGGTGAAGTTGTCATTGCAAGCTGCCAAGCTGTACAAGGAGCACATGTCTCGTGCCCAGCCCTCGCGCCCTCGGCAACTTAAGTTGACTGCCAAGAACGCCGAGCCTTTCATGTTCCGTCGATGCTTCCATGGCTGGGGTCCGTTCTATGAGCCAAAAGACTGGTCTGGGTAAAAGGATAGAGTGCACATTGGCATTACCCACTTTCCGCCTTCAGCACTTCGCTGCGTATTTGTTGTCACTGGCAGAGCCTATGTGCCAACTTCCAATGTGCATGTGACCGTGTAACAACCTCTATCTTTTTAAGTACATATTTCGTCTTAGTGCTTCATGCGTATGCATTTATTTCGTTTAATTTAAGTGTAAATAGCTAAAATTCAAATAACCTTCGTTGGGTACAATGATGTGTTTAGTGCATCTTGCATATCCGTTTAAATACGTTTGACAATTCAAGCTCTAAAGCATTCCATAACTGATTTATCCATGTAAATAGTCATAAATTCACAGTGCACACAAAAACATTAGTGAAATAAAGTAAACGACCCTTAATGTTTACCATTTTGTGACCACTTTAGCAACTGAGAAGCATCTATTTCATTAGCTTCATGTGGTTTTCTAGCAAGATTTTCTTCGACGTCCTCCATGTCCACGCTTTGATCTGACTCTGTGTTTGTGACTGCAAGACATGAAAATGCAAAAAACACCAGTGGCAAGATGATTAGGGTCAGTTTCTTAGCTCATTTGTCAGGTGCAGTACTGATAACGATGAATGGCTCTGTCGAAAGTGTGGTGCGGCAAGATACAACACGAAGTACCCAAGGAAGATAAGAGATGGGTGAGAGGCTTAAACTTTTTTTGACGTCTCAACCAAGCTGTGGTGTGAGAGTGCGTGAACTTTCAGTAGTGCATAGTTAATGTAGTTTTTGACCAAAATTGAGCGTGAATTAGTTGAGTTACAAGTAACTGGCAATTCCTAACTCGGTTAATGTTGTATACTCAGAAAGAAATTGAGCATTTTTTGCAGAATTCATGCGGTGATAGCAAAGTTTGTCTTTTTATTAACATTTCTGGCCATAAAAATGCTTGCTTTCATAATTCCATCGAAGCCTTATTATATTTGGATTTGGTATGCGTCGTAGACTTTGCCTAAACGTTCCGCATGAATGTGGAAATCTCGAGGTTGAATAAATATTGGGCATAGATAATAATTAGTTAAATATTTTTATCTGTAACTGGGAGGCGACTGTCTTAAAGTAATCAGATTCGTATGCTAGAAGAAAAAGACTGATGGGACTGTGCGCGTCGGTCTTAAAGATATAACAATAATAAGGTGATATACGTTTAGGAATTATTTAAGCTGTACAAATCTCAATCTAGCATATTCTGTCTTGGGCAACACAGTTACGACACCCAGAATGTATGATAAAATTTTGGTGCTTCTGGGGGATCTTACAAACGTACTAGTTAACAACTTGAGAATAAAAATTACGGTATCAGCAGTTATAACCATTTATTTGCAAACAGGTCGGACAGGTGCATCTGATCAGCATAGATTGTGGCCGTCCTCAAACACGCAGGGAACTAAGCCGATTATCTGCCGTGTTTTTATAGCCTACGAGTAAGACCATAGCCAATCCGAGACGTACATGAATGATAGTCACTTGTGTAATGGAAGGTTTAATCAGAAAGGAGTACATGAAGAGACAGGAGCTGTATAAAGGTTTTGGCCTAAGGTTTATCAACAGAGTTGGTCTTGTTGCATCCGGCTTTTGCTTTTAATGCCATAATTCCCATTTCTAAACGTACGTACTGGTAAAAGAGAACCACCTAAAACTGAAGAGAATTTCTGTAATTGCAATCAAGCCGCTGCCAACAAAGAGCTACAAATTTAACAGCTTCTTGTTGAGTTTATTAAAGCTATATTAATTTGTCGTTCTGATAGCAGCATATTTGGCATTTACACGAAGAATGCACAAACGTAAAGTTAACTCTACATCGTGTATTTATTGTGAAAAATCCGCGGTTCATTGTTACATACATTTGAGTCAGTATGTCTCAATCCTCATCAGTGTTTCTTGTCTAAAACCAGAGCGAATTGATCGAGTCATTTTATGTCATAGCAAGCTATGAAGCCCTAAGAAATTCCTGTCATCAATAATATGTCCTAGGGAACCAAAAAGCATTACTTATGTTGTGCAATTGCGGTTCTGCTGCATTCACGGTGCTTTAGTAGCAACTAAGTTAATCCATGAAAATAGCTGCCTTCAATGTACAGTTTCGCCTCTCATCAACTAAACACAAAGAACCACTAATTTTATTCATGTCAAAAGGCATTTAAAATCTACCGTCTGCATTGTATTCATTATAATACAGGCGCTAGTGACCCCGGAGCCGGAATGGCAAACTTGTTAATGAATTAATATTTATGGCATCCTTGAAAATGTGGCAGATGTTCACGGCTTAAAGCATGAATATCGGACCCAGCGAAAATATTTCTTAGTTATATATCAACCCCTTTAGTTGGATCAGTATCACCAGAACTAATCAACATTGTACTCTTGGTCAAAATGGTTTCAAAGTTCTTGACGTTTCCAGTGAACAGGGCATTGGTTTCATTTTGTCGAATTTATGTAAATAAATCGCAAAGTTTTCGAAGAGTAATTTATTATTACGTTGACGAAGTATTCGCATGATGCCACCTAATTGTAAATAAGTAGTTCAGTTTTAATCTTTTAGCTGTTAGTACTGTTAAAGCACATTGCGTTGTGGTTATAATTTAAAACTGTTAACGAACAGATTCGTAAAAATCTTTCCGTCACACATGTCTTGTCTGATCTACTTTTTAGCATATATTTGGATACCTTTTTGTTAAAAATCAATGGACAAATTCGTGTTATTATCTATTAATAACTGCTCAATATCACTTAACTAAGGGGAAGTGTCAAATGCCTGGCCATTTACAGACTCGACGAAAATCTAGAGAAGGATTGGCTGCATTTCTCTCAATCACGAACATCTTACGAAAGCCAATATGGCTTCGTTCATAAGATTAGGCGCGTATTATGGCGCTGCCCTTTGCAGACATCGCGTACATCGAGGATGTTTTCTGAATTACATAATAAGGTCTCGAAGGATCGGGATGGAAAAAGGCCTTTGGATGCACATTCTATCCAAAGCTCATTTACAGGTTTGATGTTTTGCTCGCTTAAATCTCGACTTGGATTCTATTTCCTCTTCACTTAACTCTTATTTCATGTGGTTTTAGTAATTTATGCATCTTATTTTTGTTCTCCTTATTTAACTTGACAGAATCCAATTATTCGGTCTTAGTGTAAAACAAGTGAGATAAGAAAAAAATATAGCGTGAAATATTCTAGTGTGTGGTGATTTGATTGTTTAATGCAGCGTTCGGTGTTGCCTCTGCCTGTAACCTCTTCAATAATACCTGAAATCAGGAGCACTTAATGCGAATGGTGGTCCTTTTTTGCAGCTTATATACGGACCTTCTGTGTATACTCAGTGGTAACCAAAATATAGGGCATCGCTAGTCTTCCCGAACCCTAGTCTTATGAATAGAATCCATGCGTTCATTTTGCTTGATGATTTAGCTCCTTTGTATCGGTTATCGTAGCGGATTCGTAGTTAGTGTAATTATTACCAAATACCTCGAAATCCGAACACCCATTGTAGCGCTTTTCTATGTTCACACTCGTTATATTTTTTGAGACAAAGATCACCGATATGTCGGACGAAATATTTGGTTTGGTTCTTTCTTAAACACAAAGTAATGTATTTCACTTCACTTCACTCAATTTAGCACGTCTGGCTGCCCAACCACTCAGTAAAGATCATTTTTGGGTCATTATGGGTAAAATTTATGGCTGTCCTTCTTTCCCGGCGTTGTTCGTGTTTTTGCTGGCAAAGTGATTTCTGTCATATTTATTTTATCTGCAAAATATACCCCTTATGGATGGTTTTGTAGCATAACATGCCATTCTTACGGCTTGGTTTTAGTTCGATTGACGTACCCAAACTTCGTGTGAACCCCATCGATATGCTATCGTTCGCATAAAACTCGTGCGATTTACTATTAGTTGCGCTTGTCAGGGCATTTCTATGTCATGAACGCGGTTTTGGTGTTGGGTTACGTCTTAAGCGACTTCTTAAGGTTCTTTTGTACATTCGTTTTTTTTTCGTTTTTTTTTGCAGCTGGCTCCAACGAATCATTGAACAGCATCTATTCGGCTTCTGGGGTATGCTTCAATCCCTCCTCACGACCCTCTTTAGCACACGCACAGGAAAAGCGACAGGATTAAGTACCTTGAGACAAAGGTTTCCGAATTAGGCGTGCTGCTCCGTCAGAAGAATTTGTGTCTTGAATCGTCCACAAAAGAAATCGATCGACTTAAACTCGGTAAAGTAACCAAGACTTTTTACTCACCTCTTGCCTTAGAGCTTGAACAGGCCCGCTCTCGCTCTGATGGCGTTTTGAGTGAGGCAGATCACAATCGAGTAGAAAACCTCCAGGGTATTGCTGAGGCAAGTCTATTGCTTAACTTTGACATGTTGCCTCATTAAATAGTTTAAACCATTGTTGGCGTTCCATCAAGGTTTTACGAGAACCCGTGAATACGTTTCTTCTCACCACATTCTAAAACTTTGTGCGTTGAAGTTCACTGCAGTAGTTGAAACTGATAACGTCAATTTATTATTTAGGAGAGCTCTGATCTAGCCAACAAGCTGACAAAGGCTGAAACTGATCTTGAAGCCGTGAACCGGCTCTCTGAAGAGATTCTTGCTCAAAAGGATGAACAACAGCGCAAGGCAAATCAGGAATTGGATATCGTGAAACACAAGGTGAGTTCACATTGGTTTCTATACGTATCGGGTGTTTGCTTAATATCTTATCAAAAAATGTTAAAGCTTGCCAGTTCAGAAGAAGAAGTCAGTGTGTTGCGCACACAGTTGACGGAAAAGGTTGTGGAAATCGAAAACCTGTGTCGTCAACTGGCACAATCTTCTAAGGAAATCGAGGTCAAGCAAAAGGCCTTGGAAGAGGCAAAAGCGCTTCGGTATGTTGCTTTACTCTGAAACATGCACATTATTGCAGTGTGGTGAGCTGGCTAACAGCCTTGACTTTTTCAGCCTAAAATTGCTTAGTGAGCAGTCTGCAAAGGAAGGGTCACTGAATCAACTTGAAGCTGAAAAGGAAACTGCAGAGAAAAAGCTCAATGAACTCATGACCAATTTCGAGCAGGTAATTTAGCACATCTGTTTTATTTGAAACAGATGTGCTGTCGTAGTCTTGCGTCTTAATTTTTTTCAATTGGCTTGAGTTTATTACCTTGCACTTTACCGCACCGTCAATACAGAAGCATCGCTGAAACCATAAGTGGCGATCTTCACGTATGCATAAAGTCTGCTCCCTTTTATACTGTTTAGTGCCACTTTGAAATTGGTATTACGAACTAAACTCTCAACGAGTTGCCCATAACTTGCAAATTCAGACTCCTCTCTGCTTGCTTTTGCCCAATTTGGGGCTATGACTGTTTCGTATTGACTAGTATGTTTATGCGTTTTAAGTTATTGTGTGAATGTTTTAGTAAAGGAGCTGCTTTCTCAGGCGTCTCGTTTTTGTTTGTCTTATGTACACATTTTGGGTTTCAATTCACTTATTACTATTTACATCCGCATGTTTCTCTAAAACTTTAAAATGCTGAAAGTTAAATATCCAAGACAACGCATTATCAGATGTTTGTGATCTCGGGGAAACTTCGTCAAAAAAATAAGAAAATAGCCGAATGTATTTTCACCCCCTATAATTTGCATGCTTTTCGACTTCCACTGTGGATGAAAATCGGCCGTAGTGCCAGGCCCCCATTTATAGATATTTCCATGCATTCGTCTCCCAATATCCCTTGATTCTTTAATTAGTGCAGACCGGGTAGCTATAGGTCGGTTACTTTTTAATTGCTGTGGAGGCTGTAGGTTTGCTTTTGAATTTTCTAGCGAGTTTTTTCGTTGCGGTATTCAGTATGCAGTAGTTGTCATTATCCGTTGGCTGGTCTCGAATGTTTTTAATGCTCTCAGTCATACGTCTGAGTCGGCCAATGCAACCAGAAGCCAAAATGATGCACCATTTGTGTGACAGGAGATTGTAGCTTTCTTTTGACTACTCGCTGGTGAAGTTATAACACACTGTGTCAATCTTTTTCAAGGAACAAGCTGGTGTGCATGATTTTCGTCATTTTTTGTAGTTGAAGGTGGCCCTGAGCCGCCAAGAGCGACTGACGGTCGAAGCGTCAGATCGAGCGGCAGTTGCTCAAGCCGAAGCCGAGAAGGCCCGGACTCGAGCCACAAGCGTTGAGGTGCGTGCGGCTGAGCGGGAATCAGACCTTAAGGACCGAATACGCCTTCTTGAAGAACGCCTTGTCCTCCTTACCGAACCTGATGCTGCACTTTTTGCCGATCATATCGAGGAAGCGAAGTTAACCACAAGTCCTATTCCCGATGACTCGTCGCCAGAAGCTGCATCAGCACGTTGCGTCACCTTATTGGTCGAGGTCAGTATTTCTCTCTACCTGCCATCACTCGCATCACTCATTCTATTTGTTCGTGAGATGGAAATGACTGTTTTGGGCAATTAGTCAGACACAGCGAAATCAATCAACTAATGTTAAAGATCATAGCAGCAAAAGCCGTGTTTACTGCGTTCGTATCCTTTCGTTTCGCGTTCGTTTTAATTCCCACTTAATGTTCCACATCCTATTTGATGTTTGCTCCTTGATAGCAATCCATTGTACGTCTTTCTGACAGGTTTTTAATTCACCAAGGGTAATATTAAGCGCTAAAAGTTGATGACACTACTTGAGTTTGATGGTCCCACATCCTCTTTCTGTTCAAGCGAAAACTACTGGAGACTCGGTTGTCTGAGACGCGGAAGCACCTAGAAGATGTCAAGTCTACGTGGAATGAAAAACTCTCTGCTCTCGAATCACAGATCACTCATCTCAATGAGAAAATAGCCGAAGACTCTGCTGAACATTCGTCCTCTCAAATCGAATGGGAACATCAACGGAAACATCTCGAGTCTTTGGTGCGTAGTGCTATCGGTGTGGGTAACTTATCCACAGTTTTCCCATACGTCCAGCCAACTGATGTGATTCCAATAGGTTATCAGTATGTTGCTCGATAGCGTATCCATCCAGTTGCCATTTTTTGGGTTTTGCCTTATATGTATGTATTTGACTTCTTTTAAAATACATTTCTAAATTTTCCTTAGTGGTGTCGTGGACCTCAGCAAGGAATATTTATCTTGGTGTATGTTTGTTTGCAAATCACGCGTTGAATCTAGCTTCGAACACGAAGTATATTTGCTACGAAAATGTTTATAAAATGCGACATCTATTTGCGCTCCTATAGCTACTTTTGGCTATATTTTTAAACCACGAACTCTCGGCCAAGATCTGTTGAACATTTCTGTGTACGAACTAGGATCCGTACCTGATTAATTCCTTGCCCGCTAACTAGCAGTTGTAAAAGGTCATAGGAATTCACACCAAATTCAGGTCGCAAGAGTAAAATTGAAGGCATTGAGCATCCAAGGCCGTAGGACAGATTTCCTTCGTCACTGTAGAGACTCCACGTAGCGGACCGTTCTTAAAGGCTGAATTTTTCCCACAGGTGACGGAGTTGCAGGAGCAATGCGCTGAAGCTCAGGCAAGGGCGGCCAAATTGCAGTCAGATCAGGCAGACAACGAACGCCTGGCGGGCGAGCAGAACCGTGAGTGGGAGGTGGAAAAGAAGTCGCTGTTGGCAAAAATCGCAAAAATGGAACAGGCTGCTGAGGCTGAAAGCCGAGCACACGCCGAAGTGCTCCAAAAAACGGTAAGCATGGTGCTTTATCTATTCAACAAATACTCTCACACCTGGGCTAGGACTCGCGTCACAATTACTACCCGAATGCGTATATGTATGTGTGTGTGTGTGTGTATGCTGAGAAACTCGTCAGTACTTTTGTTCTGTCTTGTCAGCATTATCGACACGTAAATGTAAATTGTCTGCCTGATTGTTCCTTACTCCCAGCTGACGCGAAGTCAGGTGGCGAGTTCTAAATCGCGTCCGGGCTCCGCTAAGTGCTAACCTTATTTCGGTCATGAAATTCATCCCCCAGTTCAGCACAACGGAATTTGTAGTTTTAGTGCCTCGGTCGTCAAAAAAAATAAAAAAAAACCCTTGGGAATGTTGAGCTCCAGCAGTCGATGGTCAGACCATGTGGACAGGCTTGACAATATATACATTTATCACTATAAGTCTCGGTGTTAGTTAAAGTGTCAGTATTCTATGCTGGATGTCATCATGACGGCTTCGTTGTGGAGATTTCCGTAAGTCAAGCACAGCGACCCAAGACAGCTTGATTTCAGTATTTGAATTCGTCCTTTCTATCTTACCAGCAAGACCTTCAGTCGCGGGTCTCTGCTCTGGAGACGGACAAAGAGAATTATGTGAAGGAGGTGGACGCACTGAAGCGCGAGAAAATTGAATTAGAGGTATTTTGATTACCACAAGTAAAGCGATCCCATTCGCAATCTGATTAATTTGTATTTTTAAGTCTCAACTCGATTCAACGAAGGCAGAGGTTACGCAACTTCGAGAGGAGTATGCAGCCTATCAGACGTCAGCCACTGAGAGTCAAGAAAGGGTAAGTTAGTTTCGGCGCAACCCACCCAATCCAAGCTCTACTTATGCTCAACAGAAGGATTAAGATTAAGTGTTTCGCGTTTGCCGTTGTGATCGATGCAGAGTTTTGAATTAACTTTGGTGGCTGTCGTTAACGCAGTTGGTGAAAGCAAAAGTTTTTGCCCGATTTTTTCAAATGGCAGAAGATTGCTCTTTTGAGTGTGTTGGTGTTTATCAAACGACAGTTATCTAAAGGTACCATGAGTCGAGGTAGCCTTAAAAGTGTTTATTTAAATCAATTAAAAGTGGATATGCACATGCATTTTTATCGTGACAAGTGTTGGGATGGTAAGAAACCTTTCAACTCATTGATTTGGAACGTTCTCCTGCTCTTAAGACGGCTGGAGGTGGTTTAATCCATTGAACAAGCAGGACTTTAGTCTAAACGATAACATGGAAGACATTCCGGCGTTGATCATGGCCTCATCTATGATTTATTGAGTAATAATCCACGGGTTACCCCTGAGGAGATTGCCGAGGAACCAACAGTTGAAAATTAGATTAGATTTCGCCCTTAAATGCAACTTGGATGCACTTTGAAACTCGATGTGTGGCTTCCGCACGTTTCGAATCAACGGGTCAAACGACCGCACTTCCACAGCCATTTCTTTATTCGCTTGCCAGCAAAAAAAATTTGAATCAAGGAAAGAGATGGAAGAGAGTAGTGCTTTACGGGCTACTTACACGCAGCCAAACAGTAACTGCGAAATACGACTCAATTGTGGATTGCACATTATTGCTCACCAGATAGTGCTTTAAATGGAATTTTGTTGTATTTAAATTAATTTTCATTCCTGTGCAGGCGTTTGCAATCTTTCAATTCACCGTTTGGTTTACTGCTTCAACCAGCATGGACTTATTGCGACGACAATCCGATCAGTGTTAAATGTCTTGAGTGAGTCTGATTGTTTTTGTAGGCGAAGAAAGTCGAACAGGAACTCCAGCACCTAGGCAATGCAAACAACGACCTGACAACGGAGATAGCGAACTTGACGAATGCCCTTGAAGCCGAAAAGGAAGGTAGGAATATCGCTCACCATTCACTCCACCTTTAGCCGGTGCACGCCACTTAAATGCCCTAAACGAGGAGATTTCCAAGCTCAAAGCTCAGGTGCAGACCTCAGTTGACCAAATTTCTGACGCACAAAAGACGGCAAATGCGGCCGAAGCTGCACGTCGCCAGGTGGATTCCGAACGGAGCGCTCTTCAAACTAAAGTAGGCATTTGAAATCCACTCGGCATCGTTTGTGCATGGTCCATGTTTACGTAGTCTCTAAAAATGAATGCGAATAAAGTGTAATTTCATTTTAAAATTGGCAAAAGGTGCGCATTTACAATAACGCGGGGCTTAAAAATATATAAAAAAGGGCTACATTAAGTGCATCATGAGACTATAAAATCAATATGGAGAAATGGTTGCTTGAGTAGTACCAAAAAGAAAGAATCGTCGAAGTTTATTTTTGCAAATTAGGCGTGTCCTGAGTCTTGCCCTAATAGCCTTTCAGCCAGAAACATTCAACACTATTCACTCAAGCCTGATTGTCTTTCTTTATGTGTAGCTTGTCGAGATGGAAAAGGTGTTCGAGGCGAAGATAGCCGAAGTTAAGGCGAAGCAAAAAGAAGACGAGGATGCTCGTACATCGTCGGAGGTTGCTGCCTTAAAGGCAGTGATTGAAGAATTGAACGAAACAATGTCTGACCGGAATAAGGTGAGTCTTGGTGACCTGTCACTTCGTAGTTGGGTGGGGGGCGCGAGCCTTTAACCCACGCTGGCTGAGTTTGCTCTAAATCCCGATGAGTAAAACGCGACTTTCTGTTGGGGCTTATTTTTTTACTATGCCCTACGTTGAATTTTGTTTAAATATTCTAGACCGCTTAACAACGACGAGTTTTTGACTTAAAAACGTATAACATTAGCAGATGATCATTTGAAGGTACTTGGGTTTTCTAATTGTTAAATTGAAATACCATCCGAATAATAATTTGGTTATAAATAGGAATAAATAACCAATAGTTGGCGGCATTTATCTTAAAATTCATTTTGCCTTCGTGTGCTCATAAACTTGAGCGCATTGCACCTTTACCAATCCGTCCCCTCAAATGGATAATCATAATTGTAAAAGGACAACTGTAATCGTAACCCACAATCCGTCTTTTCGTTTTTTTCCGTGCGCTTTCAACCATGGTGTCTACGTGGATGTGGGCTTTTGTGTTTGCAATTAAACTGGCTTCTGCTTTCTGTCAACAATGATCCATTCTAATGTATTGTTGACCACCTGTATAAAACGGAATCCCGTGTCTTCCGATGTGGCGCCTTAATCCAAGTCTCCTCAATTCAACCAATGGTGCCCCTGTGGAATGCATCCACACTTCGCACTTGTTCACCACCACGCATGATCGTGCTGTGCCCAAAGTATTCATGCTTCTAGCTCCCGTCTCTTTTGGTTCAGACTATTCGACTGCAGAAGCAGAAGCTGTCCGAATTGAAGAGGGCCTTGGGTCAGGGACTCAGGCCGGTCACGGCGTCCAACCTCTCCCTCATCTCCACCGACGAGGAGGCCCACAATCACACCCAGCCCTTCGTCACCTCCAAGTCAGTTGTTTGTAGTAGCATGTTCTTTCCCATGTACTCCTCCCGCCATATCGAGTATTCTACCCCAAAAATTGGTCCACGTTTGCTCACAAACCTTCACCAATTTATGCATAAGAAAAATCTGCCTAATGTGGGTGTAAATTGCACCAGCATAAGCCGAAGTCGAATAACAGCAAAAACAACCCGCCATGGTAAATTTTAATAGCAATAAATTGTTGTGAATTGTGTTTATTCAACCTCCTAATCCGATCGTTTCGCCTTCGACACAAGGCTCCTCTTCTCACAGCGTGGAGCCAGCCGCGCAAATCCTCAACTCCCCCTTCATTCACACGTATATGTATCTTGGATTAACCTCACACCTAGGTCTCGATGTTAGCACAGTTATGACTTACACATCCGAGCTATAAATACACACGCACAAACCCCACACACGAGCCACGGCTTCGTCAAGTTCTCGAATAAACTTTTGACTCTGTCCTTCCACCGATCTCGTCTTTGTTGGGTAATTAGTGATATTAGGCATCCCAACAAAACATGACGGTAAATAGAGTGAACGGTACATGCATGCAACGAATAGAGTCCTCTAAAACCGTCGCTGAATTGTATTTGTTTGTAGCGTCGTTTCGCCTCCACAAATTGTTGATGAGGTGACCCTTCCGCCGCTAATCACCAGCCGCCAAACCGCAGCCCCACCGCCCGCTCCTTCCAGCCCCCCCGCGATGCTCCCCGACGAGAGGCACGACCGCGGTGCTCGCCAGATGCCGCTGTCGCCCTCAGCGCTGCTCCTCGACAGCCAATCCGACGTGGACACGGTCAACTTCGGATACCTCCGGCACGTGCTTCTCAAGTTTCTGCTCAGTCGTGAGTCGGAGGTGGGTGCTATGATTGAACTACCTCGTACGAGATCTGTAAACAGCGTCGTTGCGTCGATTTCAGCTTCACCTAACCCTTTGAGAACGCTTCTATTGAGGGCTTTAAGTTTTCCAACATGCAAGACAAATTTTCCGTAGCTCGTCGTTGTCATATTTTAAATTGGGGGTCTTTTCGACTTGGGTGATTTAATCTAATTTTAAAACTTGAGGTAGGGTGGTAAAAAGCTAGGCACTCATTTGGCTAGGGTAATTTCGTCGCCCAACCGTGGTCCTCTCTCAGGATAGCGGACGCCTAGTCCCACGACGGACATTTCTTTAAACTTAGAGGAAGAGAGCACTCTGCGAGCCTGGAGGATCACTAAGCCATCGTGTTCGTAATAGTTTATACCAAAGCAGGATGCCCCACCTCGTCTCTTTTCCGCTCAGTTACATTCGCATAATTCATGCAACATTTTCTATTCCTTGTTTGAAATTGTGTCTCACGTATTCGCGGTTTGCACTGCCAAACAAGGAAAACGCGCCACCTATACGTGTGCTGCATAAACAACTCGAGTCACGTCTGATCCAGCGCTGCGAGTTCCTGAAATTTTGACCTAATTTTTTTTTCGCGAATCACAACAAATTGCAGTGTTTGTGTTCGGCATTTCCATTATCGCCTAAATGAAATGTTTGAACCAGACTACTCCTGTTAATGTAGGTACTATTTTTCTTGCCGATATTAATTAAGCAGCGCTCGTAATTTTCAAATGCCTAATTTTCGTAACTTGGTCAGGTGCCCAGCCTATCTAACGGGTACTAGGCGTTCGTACAAAGGCGCTACGTCTGCTCAAGTGTCATAAACCAGCTACTCGGCAGCGTGGGGTCCCATATTAACAAAGAAACTGGTTAAGTAATCGAAAAGTGCGTGTAGTTCTGCACACTTCAAGGGTTGATAATAAGACTACATCGACACCAGTTTCCAACCCCCTTGTGTCATTCACCTGCAGGCCCTCCAACTAGTGCGTGCGGTGGCGACCATTCTGCGTCTGTCTAAGGAGGATGAGTTCCTGATCAGACAGAAGCTGGAGCAACGCCGATCCTGGTTCGCTGCGCCTGTGGTCTCGCCGAAAGCCACCGGCCAATTCTCCAAAGTGGTCTCACCTTAAAGGCGAGCGCGACAACCCCCACTCAAGCGACTCGCGAAGCCTGTGATGATTATTGACCGCCGCATCCACACCTTTCGACGTTCCCCGTTTGCTTCGGTTCCCCCTATGTATTTCGTTCTGAAGCCCTTATGTATTTTTTTTTGAAGGCGTTTGTGCACAAATGCACATTGGCATTACTTGTTCACCAGGATTTGAAAGCAAAAAATGCAGATCGCAGGCAGTTTCTTATAAGCCGTGATTCTTTCGCATATTGGTTTGTGAAAGATATGGTGTTGCCATAGTAAAATAGCTTTGTTAGAGTAGTTTGATGTGGATCCCCGCAAACGCTTATGTGTTTGTCCACGTATTGGGAGTACATGAATCCCCCGCTAATATTTGCGCCTAGAACGGTCTGTGAGCCCTAGTGAATACCATTCTACCTGGAGAAATGGAGGGTATCTTGGAAGATATGTCGTTAAGTCGCTTTTTGCCACGGTTTCCGGTTGGCAGAGCCTCACACAAAAATAATGCTTTCATTGAAACATTTAAAGTTGGCCCAATAGGGATGGGACCGCCGATACGAAGTGAAGGAATCGTGTTCAGTCTTGGTTCTCCAATACATGGTACAGGGATTAACTTTCAGGCTGTCCTCTGCCAAGTACGGTGGCAGGACAGTTGTCAGAGGCGGCACAACACACCTCTTCCAGGTGTGCTGGATGTCTGCTGCCTTGCGTTAACCAAGACAACTTCTGACAGTGGCAATGGAGTTCAACACCACGGGCAGTCTTGATTTTTTGTTGGTTGTAGAGTTTCTAAGGGTTTTTGTTCCTAAAAATGCAAATCTGCAAGTTAATTCGTGGTTCAGAATTGTTGAGCCCTCACATTCTTGAAAAGCGTAGATTAGTTTTCCTGTCGATTTTGTCGAATTGCATTGATGCTTTTAAATTTCAGAACCAATTTATTCGCAACCATCGTCCCTTGTCTTTGCATGAGATGGATTTTGAGTCGGTATTTCGATTCTCATTTACCGTGAATCTTGATCTTCATTTACTGCCCACACGTAATTTGCTTCTTATTTGATTAGTGAATAATAAGTCTCTTCCACTTAACTTTGCTGCCCTAATATCATGCTAACATTATCCTGGCAAATGAAGCTTACCTACAAAACAACACACCTCAGGACCGGTTAGTGGGCGAATGCATGGTTGGGTTTGCATTCTCTCCGTTCCACTGTTCGCCTCATTTTACGATGTGAAATCTCCAAATGAGATCATGCCAAGAAATTGCTTTTACCTGAGGCTTGTAATAGAACAACGTCGTTGGTCATTGCATTTTAAGACTACCCTTTGTACTATTCCATAGGTATAATTCAAAATTTTGTTACTTTTATTCACAATGTCTGCTATCACATTATGATGTTGTAACCTGTTCACACTCCACGCTGTGGCTGCCATAGTTTAAATTCATAATGGAGGAACACTGAGCGCTAATTCTGAAATGACACTCACCTAGCCGCCTGTCCAGGCAAACCTTGTGGCACAAAACCAAACGCCGTAGTGAACAAGGCTATATGGGAAATTAGGGGGAAAAAATCTGGACGCGTGACGATTCGACCTTCGATGCGGCTTCATAGGAGCCTTATTTAATTGGTACTCCGATAATCCTCAGATTCGCCAGACACCTGTCTTTCGTTTTCAGTTGTGTTCATTTCAAAGGCGTGGGTCACATTCGAAGCTTAAAACTACAATATTGATGGGTAATTAGTACAATCACCTTTTTTCAGTGCAACGCAGCTGCCAGATTCTCCTTAGTATAAAAAAAAACCGAAACGCTTTTCAGTAAGTAGTCTTTAATTTTACCAATGACGCCGATGCTTCGGCATACAAAAAATTAGCGAAGGAATCTTAGTTGATCGACGAAAAATGCTCTATCATGTGATGATTAATCTATTCTACTTCAATTTTGCGTTGTTGTGGAATTATGAAGGGTCGATTTTGTGGTCCTTGCTTTGGGAACAGGAGGTAACCTCCTGCAAGCAGCATCGCACTCTCTCTCTAGTCTTTCAAATTCGAGTAAACTAGTCATATCCTTTTCAAGGAAGCAATCTCCGTATTTATGGGGCACGACCTCACTGTCTACCGAACGCAATACCGTCGATGAACGTGCGCAGGGTTCAGCAGTTTCAGAATCCTGACGTCGAGAAGTCGCTTTGCGTAGGTAAATCGGCAGAGGACTTCGTTTGGGGACGTTTCCGCTAGCATCGCCAGCATTCGCGCTCACACTCGGCGCCTTACCTTGAAAGAAGACACTTTTTTTGTTAACCGTTTTGGGAAACCACCTGGGTCTTTTTCCTACTACTTGCTTATTTTGCTGTTTGGCTTGGCCTTTGTGTTTCAATTTCAATGGTTCAAAAATTGATTCACTTTGAAAATTCAGAATACAATGAGCTTCACTTGTTTGGAAAGTTTTTTCATTGACCCCAGGCTGTTGTTCATCACGAGAGAAATTCCGATCCACTTCATTCGTTTTACGTTCAGATTCATCTCGAATCCCAATAAATATGGGCTCTTGCCTGTGAAATAAGGAGCGGCTTCGTCGCTCATCACGAAGGGGTTTTTGTGGGTTATGATAAAATTTTCTAGATTCGTCATTCGAAAGGGACATTTGCAAGAGCCTGTGCTGAATAGCACATTCAGAACAACAATCACATTCCGAGTCTGTTTTTGATTCTCGGCCCCCCATCTTGCCTTTTTGTAGCGTACCGAATACTTAAGGAAGCCTTATTGATTCACTCACTTTAAAATGCTCCAGGAATATTGATTTTAGCATTGTAGCACATAAAATTCGCGCACACAGTTGCGAAAATATTAATAACTTATTTTAGTGTTCTTTGCTCTTGGTCAAAAGAAAAGTGACCGACTTCTCATTTAGTGTTTGTAGGAAAACCTCTAAAACCATTATTTTCATACAAAAACCAAAACAGGGTGAAATGCTTATTATTCAGAGACAACCCGTTTAATGAAACGAAAATTTAATAGTTTTAAATTTCAGTTTCAAATATTTAGCCGCATACGACTTATGGCTTTTCTTACTTCAAGTATTGTGCGAATGTCCGCGCTGGCTGTGGCGTTGGTATATTTTTTAACACGTTAATATCTCACCCAGTCTTGGGTGACCGTGCTGCTATGGTGGGGTTGATGTACAGTCTCGACATTAACCAAGTGACTACATTAGTCGAGCTGATAATCTGATATAATTAATTCTGTCATATAAACTGTAAGCTGACCTCTTAAACCAAGTAGTGAAACATGTGGATCCCCTAATACTGAGTTCAGAAGTAAGTTGCATAAAAAGGGGAATGTATAGGAGTAAATCGAGTCAGATCAAATGGTTAAGCAATGAATTTACGAATTAGCCGCAAAAAAAGAATTTTCGAAACAAGGCGATATACTTGAATCGGGATGTCAATTTTACATGGACAGTCGGAAGTGCTGAATGTGGATTTTATTAAAATTCAAATTTAAGCGGTAAAATAATCTGTGTTAACGCTTACGTGATTTGAGGATTCAGTGTACTGATAAATAAAGCAACGGGTAATATTTAGGCTTAAACTGGATACTGTAAAACGAGAGTGCATTTCCTTAACCACACTTTATTTTGATATAACTCTTTCATAAAACAATGTAGTAATTTGGGTGCAATTTTTGCTCATTATGCCATTAAACCTTTTTTCAACTTTCATGAGCTATGATCTTTTGTATAGATTTTGTCACATTTAACATCACTGTTTGACAATAGGCTGTGGTTGCAGAATTGCAGCAAGACTTCCAGGCGTCAAGTTAAAGGCGAGTGAAAGAACCCATATCTGTGAATTGCTCCTTGTGCTTCTTAACGCATATGTGAAATGAAGGATTACTTGTGATATTTTGCCCACTTCATTCAAAGTTCACATCGACATCCATTTCTGTGGACACATTTAGAATTTGAAAGATTCTTGCGATCCCAGTCAAGTGCGTTTTTGTAGCAAAGTGGTTCATGCAAAACATGTTTACAGCCTCTTGAATGGTGGTGTAACATTACATCAACCTCCTTTCTGTATATTAAGCCCACGATGCTCCTAAATTTAAAATACACATTTAAGACCATCAACCCATCACCTGTGGACAAGACAGAGTGCGAAGCATCTACCGTCCCGTCCCGTTGTGGTCTCAAAGGTCTCCTTACAACGCACTACTTACTGATGCATTAATCTGGTTAGTTCCGTGAATTTATTAGGGAAGATAAAGGGACCGATAAGTATTTTACAAGATGCATGATAACATGATTTTAAGCAAAAGCATAATATTCTAAATTTCAATTTTTGTCTCTTGCATTGATCTTGCTGCACTTTGAGCGCAGTTGTAATGGGAGAGTTGTGCGCAAATAAATCCGCAACCAATTTTCTCGTATTAGCAATTGATTCCCACCCTAAAACTCAGCAAATATCCCTTGTCATTGACAACGGGTGCTCAAATGGCTCGCGAACGGTATTCGTTGGTCGCGGCTAACAGCTCGCTCGTTCGAGTATCGGCTTTTGTACAATGACTCCAGTTCACTAACCACAGGATCCCGTTCCAGAGAAGTGTTTGGTAAAGTATGAGCATCAAACAGCACGCTACGCTTAGTGAACTCGATGTGATCTCCGGAGTTCACGAAATCCATACTTTTTTTGACTATGATTGACCCGATTGCAGAAATTAGTGTTCAACAAACAGCATCTCAGTCAACCACCCACCACCCATATATGCTTTGTCCGAAGTAAGACTAACATTTAGAGTCTCGCAGCTACTGGTTTACTTTGGAGCCTATAGCATCGACCCAGTCGAGCCAGCTTATTCCGAGAGCCCTTGTCAACGGTTGAGAACGGCCCTTCTAACAACGACGACCGGCTCAAGAAAAGCCGCTTGCGGCCTCCATCGAAGCCCCACAGGCCCGTGCACCCCTTGCAGTTGGCAGCACCGGGTTCAAAGCCAAACGCCTCCCAGCCAAGACTAGCACACCGAGAAACCACTCGAGGAAATTGCACTGCAAATCTAACGACTTCCAATCCAATAGCTTGCTTAACGACGGGATAGTATTCCTGCCCTGAATTTACCAAACATCGAAATTGCCGAGAGGACCCTTTCCGTCTTCTGGATGACGAACAACCCATTGCCAAAATCGCCGACCTCATCACAGAGCTCGACCCAAATTCCACTGATTTTCGAGATGCCTGTTGAAGACGACCACATTTTCTTACATTCGGAAAAAGCAGTTGAGCAACACGTTAGCAGAGCAGCTGTGAAAACACAGTCTTTATTTTACAAATTAGTAAGTACACTCGGTGAACGGAACTCATTCGTGGTTTCGATTGCTTCAGACTCCTAAAAAGGGTTTCGCTGGTAGAAGTTTACGTAATCATCAATCAGCTTCTTCATTTTTGAATCTGTTACATGAATTGGCTTCTTTGCAAGCACCTACAAGGAACAAAGGAGGCAATGAGTTGTTCAACTAATTAGAATAAAAGTAACCAGGTTGGAGATTGTCTAAATGAAGTCTCCTTGTACACATAGTTAAAATTAAAAGCTAATGAACCCGTTGCAACTCTGATGGGAAAATTAATGCCTATCTTAAAGAGGCAACTGGACAAATTCTTGTACAGAGATGATAATGCTTCACAGTTATGTGCGAGGTTGTCGAGGACGACTAAAACTTTTGACGCTTTTTTCTGTACCCGCTACAGCTGTTCGCGTGATTAATACTGAGCTGACTTCTACTAAGGCTCTATTCGCGTTGGTCGTGTCGCCAAGATCTACAATTACAGAGCACATCCAACAAATCAAGTCATGACCACGCCATACTTTTAAAGAGTAAGTCTGCCCCATGTGTCATTCACAAGCCGACAACACTTACCTAAACTGATCTAATCAGTTACTGGGATAGACTGGATGAAAAGCACCTTCCGAAATCATGATGCAAGGTTTTACTGATGGAAGAACAGTATTACTACAATCCCTGAGGACAAGCAGTTGAGCACTGCCTCATCATGAGGCCTGACAGATCTGCCAGTCACAAAACATGGACCTGCACGAGATGTGGGCCATGCCTGACGCCCAACTCACGCGACACATGCACATCTAACACTCATAGAACGAAAGCGCGATCAAGTTCGTATGCGTGAGAGTAGACCGAAAATCTACTAGAACTAGTTCGAAGTGATCTAAATCAAATGGCGTCTACATCCCACAAAACTGAATAGCAAGAATTTAACAGTAAGAAATTGTGTGTGATAAGATGGGGCCTCATCAGATAGCTATAGGAGATAAAATTGGAGATATCAAAAAAAAATTAAGTTGATAGCCGTTGTTAGGCCACAAACTCGACAGATTATTCAAGTCGTATGCAAACGCAAATCGTTTGTCTACGTCATGAGTTCGGATTTTTTGAAGCATTCTGAAAATGCTCTCATAAAATATTCTTTCCCTTTACACAAGGAGAGGAATCAGGAACTGCAATTTGAGTGCGTGCAACGCCCACGTGGTTGCGACATGCCTCCAGCAAACTTCTATCGACCCCAACCACCTTCCGCCCTCACTCCTCACACAACGCCTATTAATCAGCAACAACACTACACATCTTGATCTGAAGCCGAATAAAAAAACGGAATGACCTGAGGCAAGCTGTTGCGCACCTTCAGGATGCGAAATTGCGACAGCATGTCTACAGCGTAATCACGCCAAAAATGTATTTAGATTATAAACAAACCTTAGAAAGAGCCCTCTGTACAATTCGATTTCTAGCCGCCGAGTCGGTTAGCGAAGGATGGGCAACTTTCAAATGTGCTGCCAAGGTCTTTCTTGCGCGCACTGCATCCCCAGACGTCCACGTTGATGAAGACGAGAACGGGCGTTTGGGTGGATCCACTTGCGGTTCAGGCGCGTCGCTTGACACGTGACCATTGACACCTTTCTCGACACTCCCCGTTACATCGTTGCGTGACCGACCTTTAGGCCCAAGTGTCCCGTTCACGGCAGCACCATTAAGTTTACTCGACGGGTCTCCACTCTTCGCCGCCGATGCATGATTCAGAAAATTGGAGGTCCTCTTCGCCTGAGGAGGTGGGGATTTTACAGGCGAAAGGGAGTTATCCGGATTCACGTGCATATTCGACGTTCGGAATTGAAATAAAGATGACTGGTCCGCTTCAAGGCGACTCAACAATCCCAAGGAAGAGGAGGCAGAGGGGCGGGGCGAGGACTGCTGTTCCGACCTGCAACGAAGAACAAACACGCTAACTACAGTTCAGGCAATCAAATGGATGTCAGACTTCTGATTCACACAAGGCAGTTGTTTTTACGGCGCCTGTTTGCAGCCTCTAAATGCCTGCTAACCTCCACCCAATCATGTAATGCGATGTGTTTTAATGCAAAACTGGTATCTACTAAACGAGTTCCGAGATTAGCATGTTTCGGGGGCAAATCAATTAAAATACCAAACGGCAAATTGTGCATACGCGTTAATTAAAAGTATTAAAAAGGTGTCAAAGGTATTGTTTTAATGATAAGAAGTTAGCAAGACCTACTTTTTTGTTCCACTATCGTCTTCTGATTCGGAAAGGAGCCTAAAAATTGACGTAAATGAAAAGTTATCAATGTGTGAGAGTAGCGAACATGGGCAGGTAATTCAGACCCTGTGAGCAGTGAAAAGAGCACTCAAGTCTCCACACCTTAAACCACTCCCACCAATCCCGATGACACGAACGACAGCGGGTGTCACATTCATGAGGAATAACCGCAGAGTCACCTTGAATGTACAATGTTACAACATCAAGAAGTACCCAATGTAGAGCCGCAAGAAAAAGGCGAACCTCCACTTCCCATGGGGAAAATGCCTACCCGTAGTCAACTTCAGTTCCTGTAATTGAAAGCCTTGGTGTTGGTCGGCGAAAATCGCTGCGCTGATTCCTTCGGCCGGTGCCATGGCTTGTAGAAGGTTGCGCTGGCGAACCTAGACTCGACAGCTGAAAAAGCCAGCACTGATAATCTCGCTTAATTAAGACTCGCTACTGATTACGTGCCAGTAGAAAAACGTACAGAATTCTGAAGGCTCTGTTGGGTGGAATTCAAACGCACGCGCTGCCTTTTCTTTGATTTTTTTACGGACACCGAAGTGCGACTTTTTTTAACATTTCTTCGCGCTCTTGAAACACGACTGCTCTTAGACGTCATTCTGCGTCTTTTAGCCCTCCTCCTTTTCCGTTTAACGGCACTGCTGTTGCGCTCATCAGGTTTCTTCGACGCAGTGGCATGTATGTCGTCCACAGTATCGTCGAGAGCTGGATCATTAGTTAAAGATATGAAGAGATCCTGCCTACTGTCGTTAGCATAAATTCGGTCTGGACCAAAAATGGCGGAATCATTGGGTTTCGAAAGTGAAGAAGACGCATCCTAAAAATGAAAAATTTGTGGAAACAGCACAGTTGAATGCTGACTAACTAACTGCTGTTGAGAAGACGGAGCCTTTCTTCTCCGAACCTCCCACAGCTCCTCAAGTCTCTGAAAACTTATTTACATCCATTCCCACCAGACGAGAATGGTGACATGACAGGCTACTAGAAGCTTGGGTTTACGCCAATCGAATCACTTGGAAAGACATGGGAAAAACAGGGAAGCTAATGGTGCCAAATGTCAACGGCTGACCAAATAAACCATCCCTTCACTTTCATTATTCCTTAGTAAACGTCTTTCACTCCTGGTTGACATTTTTTGGTTTCCATGGTTAGGAGTTATGGTTAGTTTGTTTTGAGATTATGCATAAGTTCCAGCGCAAGATAGAGTTGGTTGATAAATGCAGATTGTTATCAATGGTGAAACTTCAAACTAAAGCGTTCGCCCACCATGACATTTTCGACAAAATATTGTGAGAGAAAATCTGACGTCTTTGCGAAGCGAGCATGAAGGATACATTAAAAATAACACAGTGTGAGGGCTTCTTGGATAACCTGTACAGACTGATATCTCCAGAGGTTTAAATTTAGAGCATGTTCACATGACATTTCGAAGACCCGATAAAACCCAGAAGCGTTTACCATGCAAATCAGCACCTAGACCACCTACCTCATCACCGCTTTGAATGGGATTCGACTTCAACCGGCGACGAGGTGGGAGTATTGGCGAAGCAATTAATGAGTCAGCATTCGAATCGCACTCGGACAGGCCTGAGTGGGGCTCTGGAAGTCTTGAGGTGGCGGGGGTTCCTCTCATATCGTCAGAATCTGATGAGGATGAACAGTCCACGATTAGACGACGTTTTCGACATCTAACAGGGAAACGGCGGTTTTGGGTAGTAGTCGCAGGTTGCTGAAATTCAAAATTTTTATTCAAAGAAACTTTGCGTCTACATGTAAATAGTATCGCAAAGACATACTCAGGAACGCAACTAATTACATGTTAAGACTCATTACAAAGGCATCAGAATATCCCTCCAGTTTCTTGCCTGAGCGATCTCTTGCATTTTTCTACTTTTTCTCCATAGTTTGAGTTTCGCAATAACGTGCGGTGGTCTTGCACAGGAACATTTAACGATAGAGCAAAACACCAGGGAAGATGGTGGAAAGTCGTGATTAAGTCAAACGTTAATAGAACGCCAAAGATTCGTAAAACAAAACGTGGCGTGGATTACAAACTATACAACATTAGCAAACACGGATTTTAACCCCAGGATACAATATGGAAAAATGACAAGAGAGAAAAATCTTACCAGAGGTGATGAAGTTGACGGTTGTACAGGGGGATCTAAGGGAGCAGGGGAGCTGATTGTTTCGGCAAGACGGACGCGACGTCTTTGACTCTGCCTTCGATTACGACGCCTTTGTTGTTCTTCCATTTCTACCCGTTCTGAAAGCTGTTCAATGAGGTTTCTTAGCAGACCTGTTCCTCGATGGCGTCGTGCCGCAATTCGAGCAAGACGGTTCTGCGATTCTGTGGAGAGATAGTGAAGATAAGAGTGAGAATTCTCGTCCTGCTCCTCATCCTCGTCTGCATTTTCGCCTAAACTACTCGTCTCCTCTGCTGAGTAGTCAGCAAATGACATTCTCCTCCGACTTCGAGAGCTACGACGTGGACGCGGGAAGTCATCACCTGACACTTCTTGTTCTGCATGTTCAAGTTCACTTTCGCAGACAGGGCAAAACCAATCACCATCGGGAATTTCGGAAAGAGGATTAGGCAAGCAATACGTATGATAACCCTTGTCACAGGAGTCACATAAAAGTAAGTAGGCTTCGTCCTCTTGGGAGTGACAAATTTCGCAGGCTGTTGTATCTTCTACGTCCGATGGAGGTTGCAAGACGGGGGGCGCACATCGCTACATGAAAAAAAAATTTACAAGGACAAACTGAAAGGTAATTTTTGCCATTGGCAAGTACTTTTGCCTGATGCACCTGAATAAATTGCAAACACCATAAATACTGCATTTATGTGATTCTCAAACCATCTAGTATTTGAATAAGCACAAAAAGTTATTTTGACATTTTTATTTAAAGAAATAATCACGAAAAATAGTAAAGGTTTAGGGATTTGGTTCTTGATTAGATAAGAACTTCAATTATACTAATCTTTGCTTCTGACAAACAAGATATTAAATATACCGCTACCGGATCCCCGATAATGTAGAAAAAGCACATTTGATAAGTGGTAAAGTGATTAGATGCTATTCTACTTTGTTGCAGAAAAAGGCCGACGTTAGAATACAAGACAAATTGAAAAAGAGCATACCCGCTCAATAATCGGCCCACCTATATAGGAAGACAGCAGCATAATTTCAAAAGGCCCACGATCAAGTGGACACTCGTGGCGAATTCTAGCCCATTCAGTTAAGCAGGAAAGGCAGAAATGGTGATTGCAAGATTCGGGTGTTGCAACGGGCGGCTGAATGTCTTCGCAACAAATAGGACATTGACTATCAACAGTCAAAGATATGTTCTGAAGAACGGGCCCACCAATACATTTCCGGACACTAAATGCTGTAAAAGTGCGTCGACACGAATCCGTAGGGCACACACATTGACTTTCGGACTTATGCTCTTTAATCCAAGATTTAAGGCATTCTACATGAAACGCATGATCGCAAGAACATGGCATCGCATTTTCAGATTTTATAGAGTTTGTACAAATGCGGCACAATAAAGTTCTTTTTTGTAAATTCATAAAATCCAATAACTTCATGGCTCTGAACTAACACCGCCAAGGCGCCCCCACAACCAACGACTTTAAAAACAAACACACAACTGTGATCGAATTCAATATTGGTTGGTGAAGCGGTCGTGCAGACAAACAAACTGAAGAATCACAAGATTTACATTCTACAAATCAGTTACATCCTTGGCGAGTTTTATGTAATAACAAAAATTAAATGAAACTAAAAGAAGCAGAACTTCCAGCAAATATTAAAATAATCCATTTTAAATTGAGCAAAATTTATCGAATTTTAGGGCAATTATCCTTAAAAATACGCATACCAATTAAAGGATGTTAAAGAGCTTTACAGTCAACATTAGCATTGACTGCAGGTACCACAAGCAATTAATCGCTTACTAAGTTTGTTCCTCGAAATCCAATGTGATTTGCCAGAGCGAACTGCAAATTTAAGTGTTGTAAATTCAACGACGCTAAGAATCTAAAGTGTAGCTAGCAATATCTAATTCGAAAAAGAAAAAGAAGTGTGAATAGGTAAACAGATGTACGACGATAAATTAGTCTTGTAAGATAGCTCCCTCGACAGCGAATTTGGCGTTTGGAAAACAACTCTATGTTATTGTTAGTAAAAATTTCAGACAAAATGATCGGTCACCTATTAGATGCTTAAAAAGTTAGGTGGATATGAAGAAATGGAAATGCTAAAACCAAGGTTGTTGGTTATGTTATTTTCTTTTGAACCGGCCCCTGTCAACAATGACATTATTTCAAGTCGATTGTTCGCACATTAGACCAATCGTTCAAAGTTGTTGCTGGACAACTTCTTCGAGTATGCGACAGTAAATGCATTTTTGTCATAATGTAAGTGGCAGATGAAAAACATAGATTAGGAAAGAGTCAACTATCTTGACTCTGAATCGCAGCACCAATCTGATGGTTTGAATTTGCTGTTTATTCATTTCCAAACTAGGCATTACTCACGGAGGTCTAATATGTATTTGGTGCTTGGGTTTTATTTTAACGAAGAATGGAAGTTCTGGAAATTTCGCTAGCCTGAAAACCTCTGCTTTACTGGAGCAGGTTTCGTCATGATGAGGACAAATGTGGGTTAAGGTTGAAGATTCTCATGTCAGCTCACTGTAAACACAGAGCATTCTAAAAGGACGTGCCTGCTGTTTCCTCGTCAATTTTTACTGCGGTTCGCATTCTTATAATTATGTAACATCCCAGTAATTCAATGTTAGTCAAAGTTTATGGTTCTACACAATTTGCACTATAACTGGTTGCTTTACTATCCTACAGGCAAATTCAATCGAGTTTTGTGCAGACGCTGTGAATTCATGAAGATTGAGTGTGATGCAAAGGCAGGACTTTAGTGTACCGATATATTCGCGGATGTGCATATTTCAAAAATGCTTTTTACATGTATAAGACATGGCCTCGCCACAATACCTTGAGTCCGAAATGTGGTTCTAGGTGTGATGCTGTTTTGAATGTTTGTCTTTTCGGCTATCAAATGGATGCCAGGAATTAGTTAACCCACGGCCACCCCTATTAACTGTGGAGTGAAAGCCTCAGCAACTGTCTCGGCTGAAGCAGCAGGTAGCATTTTAAGGCAACTACCTGCGGGAAATTCAAATAACGAATGAAACATAACTGGAAATTTTTACTGAAGAAATCCTAGTGTATCTGATGAAGGGTCTAGCTGGGTCATTTGTAAAATGACTCGGTTTGTCAGAATGATTTTGCAATTAGCCTTTTCGGGAGATACGTCGCACCCTGTACGGACTCATAGGGCATTGCGTGACAGTCGAGTAAATCCTGCAGGTCTGCCATATGCGACAGTTTATCACTTGCTGTTCGAACGGTATCTTCTTTCTTCCTCCCGCCTTTCACCTAATAATCATGACAAGAACCTCCAGGGACCAGTCGCGAGTCGATTGAAATCTGCAGCAATTCAAGCAGGAGCGAACCGGAAGTCGGGTTGAACTTACTAAATAGTCGAAAATGATCTAGATGAATCAAGTCAGAGCGATCCATAGGCCACTGAAGCTCAACGCTGATTTTCATCTTGTAGAAAGCTAAACGTGTTCAATATCGGGGTCACCGATTTTTAGTTGGCCCCAGTGCGGTTTTCGAAACCTCACCAGGGACAGTGATTTACATTGGCAAGGCCACGACCAAAAGAAGAGTAGCTCAAACAATTTATTAAAGCAGCAGCCAAGAGTGTGTGTACAGGATAACGAGTGCGTGGTGGTTTGGAGAGAGGCATAAAGCAGTTTCCAATGGTCGGTTGATAACACAACATTGCATGGTTTGGCAGGTGATGGAGGTGTTTCTTGGTTGCTGTGGCTTCGACAGCTACAGACCTGGCTGTCATCTTGTCCCAGAGATTCTGCATGTTTGGATTAGGTTTAAAGAGGGTGATGATCCCAATATGTACAGGCATATGTAGTCGCTGGTGGTGTTTGTCACGGTTCTGATGGACAAGGCATCGGCGTAAGTGTAGTGAAGCCCTAGTCTGAGTACAACTTCGATCATCTACTCTGCGTCATGTTCTTAAAACAGTCGAAACTCGGCCTGGTTTATTTGCAATCTTTAAAGCTGGATGACATTTTGACGAACAAGCCTACTTTGGGGTCCGGTTCTGTGTAAGAAGGACGCGGAGTTTTGTTTGGAATGGGGGCGGAA